TTAACTTTTAATTTTTTAAACAATAATATTTTTTATTCGTTTTTTATTATTATAAATATAAAACGTTTTTAAAATATTAAATATAATATATATATATTATTTATTAAACTTTTTTATTTTAATACTTTCTTTTTTAAATAACGGTTATAAATTTAAAAATTTAATTTTAATTTTATTATTTTTAAATTTTATAACTTATTTTAAACAAACAATTTAAATTTTACAAATTTTATTTAAATAAAAATTTATATATTTAAAAATATTAACTTTAATTTTAACTGCAGTACGGTTTTTTCATACGTAATTCTTTAAAATACGGAAAAAAATTCAATTATTATTAATTTTTTAACCGTTTATTAAATAGTTAAATTATATTATAAATATAATAATAGTTATAAAATTAATAAATTTATTACCTTACTTTTTTTTACATTTATTATATATTTTAATAATTTATTATATATATAAATTTATTTATTAAAATTTAATTAATAAAACGTTTTTAACAATTAATATATAAATTTAAAATAAAAATATATTTAATTATTTTTAAATATAATTATTATTTAATATTATATTTATTAACATAATAAAAATTACAATTTATTAATTAAATTAAGTTAAAAATTTTAAAATTATTTTTTTTTATTTTTTTTTATTTATTATTATTTTAAATATTTTATTTATTAATTATTATAAGGTTAAAAATAAACATTATTAATATTATATTCCCAAAAAAAGTTTATAATATTACGCAAACTTTTTTTATTTATTATTAATAAAATTTGGTTTAATATATAAGTAAAATTTAATTAATTATTATAATAATTTATTTAAATACGTTACGTTAAATAATACGTTAAATTTTATCTTTTTTTAATTATATTATAACAAAATTCGCAAAAATATTTACATTATACCTTTTTTATATATTATTAAAAATTTTCGGTTATAATATTTTTACAAAATTTATAATAACGTATTTTAATATTTTAACCTACCGGTTTAAAATTATATTAATATATAATCGTTTTATTAAAAATATAATAATAAAAACAATGTAAAATATGCGCAAAATATACATCTTAAATATTATAATAATAAGTTTTTTTAAAAGTTAACTTTTATCTTTATTTATTTTATTACCGTCCGGCGGTATAAACGTTTTAAAATACTTTATTATTTTTACAACAATATATAATACATATAAAATTAATTACGCAATATAAATCAATTAATTAAATATAAATAAAGTTAAAATTAAATTTTTATAAAAAAAATCTTAAATGTAAAGGTCATTTTGGTTATTGTAAAAAAGATGTTTTAAATTGGGATTGTGGGAGGATATACCCTGGTGACTCAGAAAGTTGGATAAGATGGTGAGACAATTTGTATATAAGAATGGGTGCGATGAGTGTAATGAGAGCGTTTCTTTAACGGGATAAAGCGGTGGTTCTTGATAAGGGGGATAGTATAAGTAAAACTTTGCGTTGTTTCACGGATTAGATATGAGTCCTAAAAAAGGGTTAGCTGCGCTGGTTGAAAGTTATGGAGGTGCTGGCAAGACGGGTTTTATTCTAGTCTACCTATAGACAAATAGTGCGCGACGTTTAAGTCACTGACGTCTTGGTGTTGCAAATAACTTACAGCCTTTGCGGATTTATATATGTAAACAAAGAATGCTTTTGATTCATTTATAGTACTTAGGAGTACTGAACAAATTAGTTTCAATGCAGCCTCTAGCTAAAGATAATTATCTCAACGAGTCGTTTAACATTTCTGTCGAGGAATATTCCTTGAGTTAGGATGGAGCGTCTTCACTGATCGCTTCATTCTGTGCTCTCCTGTCTTCTTGAAGCATTTCAACTAATTTCGGTAGTGTCAACATCTATAATGCTGCGAATGCAGATCCTACATCATAATTATTTGGACATCAGTCATGCTGTATTTATCACCCATTACGCCCCTGACCAGAAAGGTCGTTCGGTGGCCCTCGGCTTCACCATCTTAAGACTTCATGAACTCCGGGAATGCAAATCTTAGTGTAAGGAGTTCACTTCTGGTACCTCTAGAGTTAACTAGGGAACTTGGCGGAGTGTCCATTATTTAGATTAACGACCACGCGGGATTTGCGAGGTCGCCCCTGGAATTGGAGCTGAGCGACAACTAGTCTACGGGGAGAAAAGCTGCCTAGACCCCAAAGAAACTGTCCACGCTATGATGATGAAATCTTCATATGAAAATAAGTGCGTATTCCGCTTCTCAAACTTATCTAGTAGTGAAACGGACTTCATAATCATATCATCTGATCTACACCTTGACCTCTCGAACTGCACCGTCATTTTCTGGTACGCCGATGCCTAGCTCCAGATTGATGGTTCTAAAGCGCTACGCTTAAAGGCTCGCGTGCTTAACTCTACTAGCGACGAAGAGCTACTGCAGTGAAAAAAGAATATGTCGGCCTATGCTGAACGACGCAAAACTTGGTCTCACTTAGGCTAGACCTGCGAATATATACGGGATAGGGAGGCACCTCCGTTTGCCAGAAACGGCGAGTCATTTCTGTGTACTTGTGAATGTGGCAAGTTCCCTTAGAACTACATGCACGGTGTATGAAGCTGGTATAAGCTGTCTGAATAATCCGCCCGCGCCGCTATCTCCCCGCTCATCTCGACGCCTTTCGATAACCAACGTTCATGATACTGAGGTCGTGGTAAAGCCAAGAAACTGCAGATTAAGTACTGCATTGTATACATCGTGATAAGATCTGGTGTTGTTCTAAAAGATGCTCTAGAGTAATCAACGGAGATATATGGGTAATTACGCGGAGAACATGGTGGACGAGGAAGACAAAGTGGATGGAAGTTGGTAGAATCAGGGGGTAGAAGATATTGACACTAGGATAGGGACAAATGTGCTACCCCTTTTCTTATCATTCACGTTTCCTTCCCTTACGGGAACCGTCCAAAGAAAACGAAAAAAATATATCAGCTGCTTGGCTTATAATTATTGCTTTCCTGCGTATAGACCAGGGATTCCCCGATTGCATTAAGGTTATTTGTCAATGTTCTTATTTGGTTTGTTAAGCTAATCTAATAGGCCGCTGCCATAAAAGTGTTGTTTTCTAATGATTTGCCACGTAATGTCCCCTTCCGTCCGCTGATAGGTTTCAATTATGACTTTTGCTCCGAGAATCGAATGATAACTACATCAAACCGGTAAAAAGTAAGCTGTAACCTGCCATTACGAAGAGCGCGACGCCTTCGGGATACTGCTGTCGCTAAACCGATACAATAATCAGATGATCACTACGTACGAGACCGAAAAAGGGGCCTTCTCGACTTGTATAGTGATAGCCGAGATCGCCGTTTAATTGATTGCCTCGAGCAGACAGCTAACTCGAAATTCGAGACGGTCATCCTTACTAATGACAAGGGATTCAGGAGTGAATAATTGCTGGCTGGTGCTGACTGGATTGGGGTCTCCTAGTTACTGCCAGAGCAAATGAGTGCCGTAGGCGACTGAAGAGGCTGTCTCCAGGGAGTAACGTTATCATACCGTCCTATATCTCTACTGCTGTAACTGGCAACACATCCTGATAACGTTCACCCACAATATATCTACGACGAATGACTAGGTGTCCGGGTGAGCATTGCAATGCTGAATCAGAAGGCCTGTTGAACCGCAAGCAATCGGCGTGCGTGCAGTTGATTCTTAACAAGCGCTGCTTGCGCCTGGAATAAACCATCCTATAATAAGGTAATCATGCAGTATAATAAGCATGCAGTCGGCATTAAGTGAAAAAAATAAACAAAGACATTGAATAGTACACCATATTATAGTGGTATTTCGCGGAGTCGGTCATACTCACATAGGTAGACTGCCAGCATAGCAGCAGAAGTTGAACAAACCAAATCGTAGGATGAGTAGTACAGGAAATTGTACCGCATTACGTAAGATCAAGAATTTGGGGGTGCCAAATTTCGAGTTCATGATTGGATTTCTCTTATGCCTTGATGTCACACCAGCCTGAAACTGAGAACCCTTCCATAGCTTTCAGCTGATAAGAAACAACTAGCGTACGAATTATGCCAAGGGAATAAGTCGAGACGATGTATCCCGAATCGGTTGAAAGCCTTATAAGGAAGGATAAAGGATATGAGGCACCCGTGGCTTAGGGTAGGTAGTCAATAAATGGTGTAATTTCCTGATTCGGGTAGGATGACGGGGGAAACATGGGTTGGGGAGGAAGCTCAAAGGCAGATGGTTGTAATATTGAGTTTAAGGCTCCGGCTCGCGAATAGAAGACGGTATTCGTTTCCTGACATCTGCTGACCTTTATCGAGACGTTATGACAAGGAAATGCGCATAACTTGTTTATTGAGTCTCTCATTGGTTGTCGTTAAATATGAGGAAAAACGCCACGGAAGTAGGAAGAATCCTTGATAGGACATCCCACTCATAAGTATAGACATGCTCGGGCGTGAATGCGTAACGCAGTTTCGTAAGAAGAGGTAAGAGTTCGGTACCGGCAGGGGGAGTACTGCAATGTGATCCAGACACAGTACTGACCGCAAAAGAAAATTGAGCAATGAGAGCCAATACCAATGTGTAAGTTGTGGATATTCCATGCCCTGTGTTATGAGCAGATGGGCGATGCTTATTCGTCCTCGTAGAAAAATGGGGCGTGTAAGTGAGGCGAACCTGCATCCCTTGTGTATGTATGCACCTACCGGACAACAGTCGCATTCGGGACGAAGGTATGGCAAGCCGGACAACATAAGTACACGGCTGTCAAAGCCTCTTTCACGTCGAGGGCGGTGTGAAGATAAAATACACCAGACCCCCGGTAGTGTTGCGCTGCTGCTCAACAGTCGGCGGTAAGCTTGTGAGGCGCAACTATTCTTAGCCTTCTCGCATAAATAGCCCCCTTGACCGACTTCGTGCTAATCTTAGATGCTTTCCTGAGATTCCTCCTCTGCTCAGCATATGCTCAAAAGATGGCATCCTCTCCCATGAATAAATATTGGATACCGCATCTTGACATCCACAAGAAGGTCATCACCCAGGAGCTCCAATACTATCTAGGGCCAGATGCCACCGTTAGACCGTATACCCGAGAAGTAGGATAACCACAATGAAGAGTTGCGAACAATACATTGACTCATGCTTTTAGGGAGAGGACGGCTTCCTAATCTCTACACCCGGGCCATGCTTGACAGACGTAGGGCAATCCACCCGCCGCGAACCTTATCGATATTAACATGCGCTCAGGAACAGATTGACGACATCTGCTTGAAATCGAAGGAGATGTGGGAGAAGCAGGCCGCAGCGCGCTCGCAATTAAATCCCGAGAGGCCTCTCAAGCGCCCATTACACCAGCCAGTATTAATCTCAAATGGATCCGGAGAGGGCTCAAAGCGCCGCGGAAAAGATCGAAGAATTCATAATTCTCGGCGACCATACGATGACAAGAAAGGGGGCGAGATGTCCCGGAAGTGAGGTTTTGCAAGCTTGCAAACTGTCTGGGGATGCAGCAGATCGCCGATGTAACGCAAATGCGCCGTGAGACAGGCGGGAGCACGACGCAAAGGACTCGAGGGCATGCGTCCCACCGCCGAGCGGGACTTCGGCGGCTCCAAGTTGGTCGAGAATGGGTTGTTCCTAGATTGAAAGCTGCAGGAGGTAGCTATCCTCCAGCGAGGGTTTGCCATCTGGCATTGCTGAAGCCTCTGTGGATCCCAAAGATTGAAACGTGATAGTTCAATGGTTGTCTGCATTAGGTACATAAGGCGCTCAACCTGCCGCAACAAGCCAGAGAAGTTTAAGCTCTTTTTGGCGAGACCTAGTCCCCAATTGGCTTACACTAAGCATCTTACTCCGTGGTTCTGTGCATGTCATGCAGAAGTCGTGCAGGTAAGCGGACCATGCCATCTAGAAGTCGAGACATTTAGGTAGATATAAGGCTCGATATAGCCCCTTTTTTGTTTATTCGACCTAGCTACCAATGAACGGGGTTTGCCGCATAATCCACAACACCCAGGAGGTCTGGAGGTCGTGACCGGCCGAGAGCGGAGCTTTTATGAATTAAGGTAGCACCGGAGATCGGTCGGAGCTTATCTCTTGAAGAACAGCTGCGCTTCAATTGTGTTTAGCTGCTGAGTTGGCATACAAGCCGGGGTTGGCTGCGATAGCTCTTGGCATAGCCTTTCAGCGCCTGTAAAGCCCATCAACAACCTCACCAGCCCATCACCTGCGTTTGAAGCTGCAGTAAGCAAACTTCTCGCTAAAAAGCAGTCCGCGATGAGTGTCATTTTTGACAATGTAATGGTACCAAATGACAAAAATGTGCTCTAGTGACTCGTCATCTAGATGAATCCATTCGTAATCATGTTTTCGTAATTTAGAAGAGTCCAAGCAAAGCAGGATTAGCGTCTTTGAATGCACGCAGGTCCTCGATCGTTCGATGACTACCGCCCAGGTAGTGATATGCATCATATCGTACCTCGCTTTATTCTGCTTGTTTGGAGACGATGGAAAATTCCCCTGGCTAATTGTATCTGAGCCTGGGTCTTCCGTTGTGGTCACTCAACCTCGGAAACGAGAGTGTTCTCGTATGATGAGATGTCTATGTCACGAGCTGTCCAGAGAACAAGTACCTGAACCCCAATGTTTTCTGTATGAGATCCCACCGTGGCTTTAGCAAACGTCCGGTCGATAGATGTGATGTAGCCTATTACATGGACCCATTGACCAATATCCGTCTGTTCGGAGTTGAGGTTCTGGAGAAGAAGTGTAACATCGGCACCGACTCTAGTTTTGGTACCCTTAGGATACTCGTGTTGAAGAGTCAATGTGGCTGAATGGGTCGAGTATCCAGTTACACTAATAATGTTATTAGTGCACACGCCCGTATGAGAAAGCCCAGTAGGTCAAGGACCGGCTCTAGGGTTTTGAGAGCTGTCGTCATAAACTTTACATGATACTAAACGGCCGCAGAGATTGCGGAGGTGCCCAAGCTCGTTCGCAGATAAAATGAGGAGAAAGAGAAAAAGCAAACGGTCTTACCACCCAAGAAACCTGACCTTATCCCCCACGTGCCTTTTAGAAAGATGCGAGAGGAGGCAGCGTATCGACGGAAGAGGTCCATAAGACATTAGTTAAGTTAAGAGTAGATGAGTATGATCAACGCCGTTGAAGTTGAAGTTGGTGAGGTGAAGAAGAAATCAATTGGTAGGCAGTTTCATCTAGTACAAGACAAGAAAGGGGGTTTCTATAAAGAATCAATGCTTTATCCGGCCTTTGACTTTATTAGTTGATTTGCTACTGTGTACGGATTACATACATACATGACATAGTGGCTCACTAATACATCTTTAAACCTTACTGGTCACCTGGGACATTGACTGACTAATCCGGCTAAACACCGGCCATTAAAAAAGGTCAGGCGTCGGGTGGGCACGCTGTTACCCCCTGTCGCCCTTGTCGGCTGCGGCGTCATCCAATCCCTTCTGTCCATTCTGCTACCTGATCGACTTACCTAAAGCGTGAACCACTTGCATCATATCCATCTATCTACCTGCCTAGACCTCAACAATCTCGTGACAGTTACAGCTTTCCTTCGCCTTTTTTGATACCGCCTAAACTCCCGCTCTCCAGACAACATAGTCGACGGATCTGCCTTCTAAGGCATAATAGGAAAAAGCGACGTCATCTCCTTAACTACGATTCTACTGTGATTCTACCCCGCGATCGATATCTCACCGGCTATCAAATCGAGACCCCTATCTAAATCATACCTGCCGATTCCCAACGCTCAATCAACCTCGGCTCTGATAAGTACGCGTCGTTCACCATGTCTGGCGTTTGGGCCTGGTTCGGTGGAAGCGCCGCTCAGAAGAAAAAGGACAGCCCGAAAAATGCGATTATCGGCCTACGGTCGCAGCTCGAGATGCTGCAGAAGCGCGAGAAACATTTAATGGCACAGATGGAAGAGCAGGACGCCATCGCCCGAAAGAATGTCAACACGAATAAGACCGGTAAGTTGTTGCTCACCGACGGAACCCCACCGACCCGAGCTGACACGCAAGCGGTTAGCCGCGAAGGCCGCATTGCGGAGGAAGAAGGGGCACGAGCACAGCCTCGAGCAGACGATATCGCAAATTGGGACGTTGGAACAACAAATCAACGCTATCGAGTCAGCTAATATTAACCGCGAGACTCTTGCCGCAATGCAGAGAGCAGGCGAAGCGATGAGCGATATCCACGGGAAACTCACACCGGAAAAGGTCGACGAGACTATGTACGTTCTCCAGCTAGAACTTCGATTACTTTCGGTGTATATGGCAGCTTACCAGGATATGTTAGGGACAAACTCCGGGAACAGAACGCGCTCAGCGAAGAAATCGTCGCGGCTATCACGAGTGCGCACATCGGCGAGACGGTGGACGAGGAAGATTTGAACGACGAGCTAGAGGCGATGATGCAAGAACAGCTCGACAAGAAGATGCTCGAATCAGGCACCGTACCAGTATCCGATGCTATCCACAGGATGCCGGCAGTCGGGAACCAAGAGAGTAAGCCTATACCTCCCCCGACGGACTTTGTCCTCCGTCTGCTAATGCTATCAAATAGTCCAAACCAAACCACAAGCCATTGCGGAGGACGACGACGAAGCAGAACTGCGGAAGTTGCAAGCCGAAATGGCCATGTGAGCGAACTAACCAAGACGTCTGCTTACCTTCGTGTTAGCCACAACCGCAGCCTTGGATTTTAGTAGGAGAAGTAGTAATAGAGGAGTCTAGAATGGATGAATTGCAGGAAGAGGGTGTGGTCTTGATACATCCGAGCTGCGCCGCGGCCAGAACTTGGATCAGGCTATAACCGGTCTAAGTGAGTTGTTAGATGCATAGCAGTCTCTTTCGACTTTCGAGTCATGTTTTCCCGTTCCTATTTACGGCGTTGGCGTTTTGAGACTACGGTGCTTCATTGGCAGTTACATAGGTATCTTCAGCACGTCCAGTTGGTGGATAGGAGATGGTAGTCTATCTACATAAGCTTTGCTCGTATCAATATTACCAGTGCGAGACTATTTTTCAAAGCATCTAGGTTACATACTTCCATGTCTTAGGCTAGTGACTTGTACGGATATTAACATATTGTAAGCACCTATTATCGCTTCATCGAGGTTAGACAGAATTAGGAAGAGACACTGAAGTCCCTTATTCCATCCAGGTTCTCGATAAATAGTGGGTAGAAGTCCTTTGAAAGGGATAAGCACAGCTCTTGGCTCAATCAAACAATCGTCATTTTGCTCCTAAAATAACCGTTACATTCAATGAAGAATCTCTTTACACGGAGCACGTAATTTTCATATCGCATGATTTTATATCAGACTAGCTAGGGCTAAGTGTTCTCTGTAGTCGAATCATGATAGCAGATATTCTAGGATTAGGCCGATTCCTCAGGGAACTATACCGCCATGAACAACCAGAAAGCGTAGATAGTTAAGTCAAGTCTATAGAGACCTTTGATTATTATTGTTTTATGATGAGGCAAACCAGAATCCTAAGCCAACGGTCCTATGGAGCATGCTGAAATACAAGATTGCCAGAGTCCTAGTGACTCTGGATTTTTTTCCATTTTATCAGAACAAAGACCTGGGTATATCCTCCTCAAAGAAACCCCGCAGGCGCCAACATGATACATGTTAAACAGAACCTTCCGCGAAGAATTAGTTCGTGTCCTGGGTTTGAATCCGTATACTACTTCGTTCGGGCTACGATGTAGTACTGTCGACTTGGTGTTGTTGGAGTTGTGCTGTAGTGCCGGGATAATATGTACCTCCTGGCAGACTACCTTATCCTTTCCATCGTACGAGGTATTCCAGTGTTGGTGTACCTTGTCTGTTTATTCGTCTCTTCAGTAGTCTCTCAATTTCGTAGGATAGCCATTCATCGTCATCGCCTTCGACCACGACACGGCCGGTTTGTGGTTTTCGTCTATTATATGGGTCTGCTCCCTGGGGTACCTTATAGAGTTGAGCCACAGATATCACTTTGTGTATCTTCCAGTGGTTCGGGATATTTAACTCGTATGCTAGATCTCCAACCCGTTTTAGTATCGTTAGTGGACCAACCCGTTATATTGACCATTTTCTTGGAGGTTTTCCCGGGAGATTGTAAGGTACCTATCTAGTAGCTTATCTAATGATAGTGTCTATCATATGCCCCCTCACGAAAAAAATGCCAACGTCCTCGTTGGTTTTCAATTAATTTTATAAGCCATTGCTTAGTGAATCCATCGCATCCTCTTTAGTATCTGCCGGATGGTCTTCATATCTAAGACAAGCCGAAACTCATCTGCAATGCGATAACCTGTTCGGCGATTTGTCGCCGTCCTTCTTCGTCGACATTGGGTATGGCTGGTGGCGCAGGTGGTCGGCCGTGGCCTCCGCTGCCGCTGCCGCTTCCTCCTGCGTCTCCCATTGTGTCGGTCTCATATGTAGATGATGGTGCGGTTGGTAAATCGGGTTGTTGTACGGCTGGAGAAATGACTTTTTCCGGTTGGTCGGGTTGATTGGGCTGTAGTAGTGGCTGCAAGGGTTGGTCCTTATTAGGTACTGTGCTTCTCTGATTGGGTGTTTCTTGGCAATATGCTTGGTATAATCGCTATGTTTTAGTTCTCGATGGTGCCAGAGGTTTTAACGGTATTACGTCTTGTAATTCCCGTAATATTTGTCGCCTACATGTTTGTTCGTGTCTGATTAACTCGGGTAGTGTATTTAATGCCGATGGGTTTATAGGTTGTGAGATCTGTGGTGTATGTGGTTGTTGCGTAGGGACTACGGGTAGGGTTGGATCAGTTTTGAGTGATATTAGATCAGGCAATGGTGTAGTTGCGTTGACGTTGTCGGATGAGGTTGGATTGTTGTAGGTAAGCTACTGTTATCTCCTGCCATAACCCCCTCCCCGAAAGAAGACAAAAACGTCCTCGTTTTCCTCAACGGAAACGTTTATATTTGATTGGTCTGTTTGTTTCTTCGTCATCTGAGGAAAGTTCTCTTCTTCGTCTGGCTAGCTTTTCGATTATGTCCTCGGGGATACCGGTTTTTCCAGTCAATGTTTCCTTGGTCACGGGAGGTACCTAGTGAACCAACCAACTTACAAGCCAAGCCGCATGTGCAAGATGCGCCCCTTTTGTTCATTCCACCATCCATCATTCTATTAATCAACCATTTTGAAGCTCGTTCTGTACGTTGTGCTGTGGGATGAGACATGTTGTCGATGATCCTTAAGTGCGCAACATAGCGGCGGTGGCTTCTTGCGAGGCACCCGTCGATCAAGCCAACTTCGAGTTTCAAGCCTTGGGCCTTATTCCTCCGCGTCAGGGTCCTTAACCCTAAACGAGTAGACCCTAACGCGGTGGCTGTTTCCCCCCAAAGCGTAGCTTATTTTTAGAAGAGTCACGAGATGTTTTGAGAGACATCAGATGCCCCAAGTCTAAATCCAGGCCACAGTAGATTCGGTGACAAGTCTTAGCGTTGTTGAATATCCTTTAAGTCCATAGTTTAGGGGAGCACCTCTGCAAAGGCAGTGTTTCTCCTTGGATATGAATTCTTCCAACAACTCTTTGACGGTGGGAGTTTTCGTAGCCACCAGAACAATGCTGTCGTCTTATTTCTCTTAGGTTAGCTGGTCTGACGTTGGGGGGTTTGTTTTTTCGGAGGCCATTTGCTTGGATGCCGCCCATTCAGAGGTTGCTTGTTGATTCTATTCCAAACCCATATGTAGGATATAAGACTGTTTTACGCGTATGTAACTGTGTGCATGGTTTAGGTACCCTTAGATTAAGATGGCGAATGCGGTGGGGATGTAAGGTGAGTTTGCAATGCACCGAGTTGATGAATATATCCAAGAACGATTGTCTGTGCCTCGCGACCTTCGCAAGTAGCTTTTTCCGTCGTGATGAGCAAAGCTTATCAGTTCGAAACTAGAGCTACTGCGTTTCAAATAGAAAAGTAGATTGTTTGGGTGCGATTCGCTTAACTGAGTGTAGTTTGTGTAGGTTGATGTTTGTTTGGATTGTGATTTGTTTAGGTTGTAATTTTGGGTTAAGGATGTAAAAGTCTGTGCTGAGGCTACTGAGACTTAAGCAGAGCGCGTTGTATGATAATTCAGGTTCTCAGAAATAGTAAAAAGGTGAAATTTAATGTACAATGTGTAAACCTGCGTGGGTTGAAATACTGGGGGGTATGGTTGCGCTTGTCCGATGAATGATGACTCGTGTACTGGATATTCTAGATTAATGCGATGGAGATGATGTTATCTTCATCAGCTTGGACCTGCCGAGTTGATATTGGAAATAAGGCGGTCAGCAGAAACAATCTTGCGGCAAGAAGCAGTTACGTGTCAAATTCTCTCTCACAAGAAGCATCCTTCCTTCCTAAGGAAGTTCCAAAAGTTCAACACGACCTAACCCACAGCAATGATTAGGTACTAATCAGAGTTCAGGGGCGAAGGGCAATTGCCTCTTTATTTATCAGCATCTATACCTAATGAATTGGCATGGTGCGGAAGGTATCAGTTGATTTTACCCAGAAAAAGAGGAAGGGTATACCTATCTTGCATGCACTTAGCTGCTTTGCATAGAATTAGGGGCTAGGTCCTAGCTTCCAACCATCTCATCGTCGCTGCTGTTGCAAGTTTAGAGTTGGTTTACTATTCACTAATATCTAGGCACTTTCCCTATACTTTACTAACTCGCTCTATTTAAGGGGCTTAAAACGAAGCCCTATTCTAAGACCTGTGTAACGACTCGTAGCTGCCTCATTGGTATAGCTCTCTGACTTACATCACAATAATTTCGAAACCGACTTCAAGTACACCTGACAGAACGTACCATTATCACTGCCCCTTTTCGTTTTCAATAGATCATGAAGTCCTCTTTGCCCGTCTATTTATAATCCAGAAGGGGTACATCCTTAGAGCCTCTATAGTTGTCCTCAAATCCTTTCGGAATACGCAAGACAGAGAGGGTATAGCAATATAACTCGTGAAGGGCAGTAACGAAGGTAAGATGTCTATTACAACAGCAGACAAGGACGAAAATATAGCTTTGTGTTTAACGCGGATATTGTAGTTTGTAGGGTAAATCACGGCAGATACAAAGAGTTACAGTCACGACCATCAAGCTCCGTAGCTAAAGAAGCACTGGAGATGGTGTACTGGACTTTGTTGTTGACAACGGTGCTTGTGACAACAAAAAGTATCACTTGGACTACACACTTTTCCTAATTATATTCTATCGTGTCTCCATCTACTCTTTAGTTGTGATGGTAATTCCATATCTGTTACTGCCGTCTGTCATAGCGTCCATACCCTTCATCTCAACACTAGGGGGATCGGGGAGGGGTAGGAAGCTTTTCGCCTACTACTATGAAGCCGGTATCTTCCTTATTATCGGTATAGTTATCACTTAGTAGGTTTATTATTAGTGCTTAGGTAACTAGGTAGATTGTAAACTCATGATCGAGGCCATTCACTATGTCTGTCTCCGAGATCCAAGTTAGTGTTAGGGATTCAGGGGTAGATCTACTAGGATTAGGTATATAAGAGGCGCACAGCACTCTCGTAAGAGGATAGAAGACACATCTATCCTGACATTCACTTTATGTATGGCACTAATCAAAGGTTCTCTCTGACGAACAGAGTTACTATTTAAGGCACGATGGTGTACTCCATTGTAGTGAGGTAGGCTAGGTGCTTTATGTAAATACATTTACTTCTTCCACGCCCTCACAATTACAAATCCTGGATGTTCTACCCACAACTTCCAATACTCGGGATCATCGCGAACAACCTTAGTGTTTTCGCATGGCTCAATCTCGACTCTGTGAAACCCATATCTTTCGTACATTTCTGAAGATCCTGTATAGCTTATTTTCAATGACGCATTTTTGAGCTGAACAGGTGGGCCCGAATCATCAGGTATCGTAGAACTGTAATAAAGGCCTCCATGAAATTCCGCAAAATCCTGACATGTAGGTCCGTACTTCCCTGTGACCATGGCTTGAGTGCGTGGATCGCATGCGCGCACCCCGATGAATCGGCCACCCGGTCGTAGTGCAGCCGCAATGTTACGCCAAATTGCATCGAGCACTGAGAGGCTATCTACATGGTCAAATATCCAATTTGCCATCACCACATCATATGATGCTTGAAGTTCAGCAATACCCCCCTGGCCGAATAGGGGCTTTGACGCATCACCTAAAAACCAACGAATCTTTGCGCTTTCATTCGGCCCCATGAGTACTGCGGTGTCTTTCATACCGACTTCCATCATTTCAATTGATATGTCGACGACGTCTACCTTCGCAGCACCTGCCTCTAGGGCTTGACGGGCTCTAAGCCCAGTACCACCACCGAGGTCCAAAACAGTAGATCCCTGGCAAAAAAGGTCTCTTCTGACGGCAGATTCGAAGAGCTGGGATTCAAAGATACCGAAAGGCAATTTCAAGAGGCTATTATATGATGGAGCCTGATCGTCATATTCTTTACGGACTTCCTCAAACGTTGGAGTGGATGTGGAAGCCATTGATGGAAAAGAATCAGAGGTTTAATGCGTAGATGCTTTATTGTAGATCATCTATTCCAGGTAAAAAGAAGGTACTGGCACAAGCACTTATTTAATGAAAATAGAGGAGCAGAAATAACCCCGTAGAAAGGTTGGGGTTCTTGGTTGGTGCTGGGGTAAATGTGGTGGAACCCAACGTACATATAAGGGGCAGCTGACACTTACATACACCCTCGGTATTGATTCTATATGACCAGTGCTCAAGTGAATCTAGGAAGGATGCGGACTTGAGTCGTGACCCCCTAACGTTGCTTCACCAGGTTTTACTATTTGGAATAATACTACCAGATTGCATCACTCTCTCGAGTTTCAGTTACGACATACCGACCAACTTACACACCTTGGTCTTCCATTTATGTACAAAGCATCTAAGATGGCCCGTAAGACCACTTAATATGAAAAATGCAGAATAGTTTCATAACGAACTCGAGTTAAAACAACATTGGCTTAGCCTTAATCCCTTTATTTTCAATAAATAAAGCTTATGCTCCTATATCTTATTATACTACCATTCTTAACTTTACCATTCCAGTTCCCTTGGACCCTCTGGTGCCTCGGGAGCCCAATCAGTACCATAGCCGAAATACTTGCGAATCTTGGGCAAATATCCAGAGTCTTCGGGACAGAATTTGAAGCGCTCCAAGTTTGAGAAAGTCGTATTACCTGGTTGAAGATAGCGATAACATGGGCTGTGCGCTTCAGCGAATTCTTGAAGCTTATTCCAGTCGCGACATTTCCGCTGCTGTCCATCACCTGGCCGGAATCCATGAACTGAATTCAAGGGAACGTAGCGGAGAGTCTCGTCCGCCGCACACATTGTTTCGACACGCAAACTGTCTAAACAGTGTAGTATATGCGAATAGCTTATTGATTGTGTTTTGTTGGTACGGTATTGCTGGATGGATATATAAATATTCCTCTGCAGGCAGTAAATCAATTAGCCACTGTTCTTCATCAAATATCGGATTTACCCCCTTAGCACATCAAGAAGATGGTCAAAGAGGTCTAAATGTTCATTGCTCTGGTTAATGGGGTTACATACAACACAATGCAGTAGATGATGGGCATTGATAATATATATTTTCTTCCGACTAGAGTCCCATGGAAATGGCTGAGAATCGGGGAGATTTAATGCCTCAGATTCATCGTTGGAGAGCGCAATAATTCCACTTTCCCATGGGATCATGCTGTCCCAAAGTTGGTTTAGTACTGCGTTTTCCGCATCCTCGGCGCTGTATTCTGTATTCCACCACAGCGTATTGGTTCGTGAGTACTCAAGTTTAGCTAACAGTAGTATTAACATGGAGCTCGGCTTTTCGTTGTTCTATACTTACGGTAGGATAATATTGTATTGACGTGGCTTGCCTTTTGCAGTTTCGAACCTATAACTAACCCTGCTGCCAGCGATAGTGTGAATATAAAACCAACGGCGAATACCTTCCATATGTCCTTACTCAGTAGACACGAGGGTATAGTTAGACTCTTAGCCTGGCGATTCTCGTTAGATGTGGCCGAATCGCTAGCTGGCTCATCGTCTGAACCCAGAAGACGATATTCTTCATATTTTTGCTCGGGCATCATGCCTACAAAGCAGATCCAAGGTAAGGAGGTAAGTAGCAAATACTATCCAGAGATGATGATAATTATTGGCAGCGACAAACTTAGTGGTTCAATTTCTCTACTAGTAAATAAACTAGCTAGCAGAACAGCAGTATCCGTAGCGGAGGAAGATCTATAGTTGTTGAGGTTGTACAACTGGCGGCTGACTTGCGTACAGCCATGATTGCGCAAGCCTTACGCATGCCGAGCGAGATTTGATAGAATTACAAGGTATTGCCAGGATTTGAATACATTTGATAGATGCAGTCTCGGACTAAAACGGATGGTGTGTACCACACAACCCGCCACTGTCAGATATGCACAACTGTGTATTTGTGATAACCAACGCGGGTGCGCCTCGTTGCTAGTAATGATACAGAGACTGGCTATTTCTCGTGTAACAAGCTCCAGACCATCGCGGCTGTTGGGGTAAGGAGTTAGATGGGGATCCGCCACCAACTCAGGTCAGCGCTTGATTCGACCCAGGGTCACCACACGTATGCATGGTAGGTAATATAGGCTGTAAAACCAATGGCCCAGTATACGAGGTTAAGAGGTAGATTGTGTAATGAGATATGGTACCGGCACTTTTAATGGAGTCAATAATAATCGGCAACAGGTTAGATACCTTAGCTAGGTAGGTTAAGCAGTTGGGGTTACAAAGAGACATCAACTCTCCTATATTTTATTAGTACTGCCACAATTTTTCCAGCCAATCAGATCCTTAGAATCGCCCCGCAGTTGGCGACCTTTTCCTTTGCCATTCTATCGCATAAGGTCTGAAACATATGCAAATAGGATAGAAAGGTCATGCAAAACGAGCTCTATCCAACGATACCAATTATTAAAGTTTTTATACAATACTATAATAGGTCAATTGATTTTACAAAAAATTCATCGGACGTGCGTTAAGGTGTGGCTAGCCAATCAGAAAGGCCAGACTTATGTGGCGTAAAAGGCACTCTTGAAGCTAGGTACCTAAGGCACTCCCCGTAAGCGCCTGCGCGAACGGGTAACGCAGCTAGTTTATTAATGTTTCATTGACTTCGATAACATGTCACCCACAATACAACCTTCATGGTTCGCGCCTGTCAGACTATGCGGCTCAAGACCTAAAGCCAAGATAATATATAATGAAATTATCTGCATAGAACTTGGTAGAGCCTTGCTTACGTTTGATCCATCGGTCAGATATTCGGTGTTTATAAATATGCATGCATAACCTGTGCTTATAACCCAATTAGATAGATAACGAACGGGATAGCAACTATCCTTCCTTGGCATAAGCGATCATCAGTGCAGTGCGTCTTATCACAATTAATCTATCTCGTAGCAACAGCTACCTAGCTGGTTACCAACAGCCTACTTTCGTCAGCCACTTAAAAAAGAATTTATCTGTGCGAGGTAGCTAGATCGGAGATTGTTTCTATTTTAGTTTACATCCATACTTGAAGTTGTCTTGGCCTCAATTGGAGGTTACATGTATCTAGGTACATTGGATACCTAGGTAGGTAGGCATGTACGTTATGATAATTCACTATGGTCACCTTTGAAGAAACAATATAGATATAGCTTATTTAATTGTCTCCACCAAGTCCTTCTTACTACCTACTAACATATAGGTAAGTACCATTTCTAAACGAATGACTACTGCCAAAGGAGCTGTTCCGCCTATCCCCACCTCCGATCGAATCCAACATCGCCCCCTTAGAGGCAGCAAGCCTTGGGCTCAATGATGTCATTAGAAATATCGACAGCTTCCTTAATAAGTGGGTTGGCATCGGAGTTGGGAGCTGGGGCGGTCATGACGGCGACGGCAAAGACCACAAAAATAGTAGTGAATTGCATTATGACTACGGGGTCTTGTTCAGCATTGTAAGTCACCATAAGAAAATTCTAGTAGTACGAACTCTGATGTATTTGTCTCAACCCGAAGCCGAGCTGCAGTATATAGAGGTGTATGGATAGTAGATATTGGTGGTATTTAATTGTGATAGTTCGAATGCTGTTTCTCTCGATATCTTCAAAGTCCACACACTACTATTACTCTTACTGGGAAAGCATCCTTTTATGGTCAGAACTAGGCATATGATAGAGATATTCACTATTAGTAGTCATGCGGCTTGACTGATATGAAGACGTGGATGGTCTTGATCTACTGCTATAATTTCCAATCTGGGCACTTGTTTCTGCGTACTTCATGCAAGATGTGTGAATAAAACCCTCCTCGGCGACTATTCAAGTTGTATCGTACTACACCAGTATCTAGTACTTGATATGAGAGAGGGGGTTGTGATTACAGGCAGATGATTGATCTACCGCTACTAAGATACAAGGATTCGTACGCCGGTCTATTCATGTAGTATGGAGAATTGCCTAGCATACAATAGAGGGGAATGAAAGCGCGTGGATAGAAAGAGGTATTCTTTTCTGACGCCAAGGTTCAGAGGCTATATCAATGAGCCCCGATGGACACATAATATTCCTCTTGTGACACCTCGTTATCAAATGGCTCATTGTCTTAAGTAGTTTTTCGTTCATACTCCAATCGAAGAGCTTCTGCCGATAGTTGAAACTGAGGAAGCGGGGATCGGGTAGTTCTTTGCGGCCCTGGATTGGAAACGCCGAGTTGTGTCACATATTGAAATCTGGTCTTCTCAAATAGAGAAAAGCATACGTGGGTTACCAAAAATATTTGCTACAATTATTCGACATTTAGAATAGAAAATAGGAGACCAGCATTCTGTTAGAGGTGAATACAATAGAACTAAAAATAAAGCTGCTTTCTCCCTCTAATCAAGTCAAAATAATTTCTCATACCATACCCGTTGTGAAATTATCCGAGCAGTCGTTCGACTTTGCGAATGTTTTTAAGGTATAGCCTAGAGAGTGTGAGAATACCTCCTTTCGCTTTGACCAGAAGACTACCTGAACTGGATGAGTTGGCTAATCTAAATAGTCTCTCTGATTGTTGTCGGTTGATTCATAGTATACGTGTATGTATTATTCTTTAGGGGGTCCTGACCCGCAATTGGGGCGTCCAACAGATTAGAGGAACCTCGCTTCTCCTTAATAACGTCGACCATGCGGTCGACCTGGATAGCGATTCCGTCCTTATATTCGCTATAACTGGCACTTCGTAATCGGCTACTGAATAGACTTCGTGTTCTACTCGCGACCGATTGCCAAGTCCTCCGACGGAAAAATAGCTGGAGGGTTGGCAAGCAGGCGGCAAAAACACCTACACTGCATTCAACCATTCCCCAATAACAGTACAACGTTATGTTCACTACTTTCATCTTAGAATATGTTCCTTTCTATAAAAGTTGTATAGCACTTACGAATATTATCACTGCTAGGATCTGCTGCCTCAGCAACGAAGCCAACAGAAACTATTAGGCGCGCCAATGCAGAAGCAACGGTCCTATTAGGAGTTAGTCTACTACCCTTAACTTAAAACCAACAGGTGATAACCTACACTGATCCAAGGAGGAATGATGCGCTGGCTGTATATTTTTGAGCTGAAGATAACTTCAAGCGCCAAATCTTCGATGGCATCTAGTATTAGCAATGCTGGGGTCAGTATAAAGTGAAATGGGCACCTACCAATGGGATAGGCAAAACGATAATCGCAAGATCAGTAGTAAACCCAGTGATACAAAATGCCATCAATACGTCCAGAAAGAATTTACATTCAGACATTTCCGAAATAGGTTTCCAGATGAAAAGTAGCATAACTCTGCAGCAGAACAGAGTGGCAAAGAAGAACGCCAGTGCCCACATGACGACGAAGATGATAAGGCCATTGAGTACCCAATTGATTCTCCTACTGATAGAGAATATTCGCTTATAGAAGAGAAGAAAGCTCACTTTCGTGCAAGCCAGGGCGATGGGAAGTATCAGACTGATAGACCATTCAAGCTGGTACTCAAATTAGGAACTGATAATTCAATATATATTGGAGTTCATACCTTGATCGAGGTAGACATTTGGTAGATGGCAATTTCGGATGGATTTTCCAACGACGTTGGATATTCTCGATATCCCATCGCCTCTCGCGACACACCAAACACCAAACAAATACCAACTCCTGTCGTCAGCAACTATACAATAGACTTGTTAGTACGGAAAAAATCCTAATAATGTTTATCTGGCCTAGGACATACTGTAGCAGGGAGTAAGAGCCAGTCGTCCGGCTTCAACGGTTGCCTCTCTTTCTTCCTCATCATAAATCGTAACATGACCGCAAGGATATCCACTAATGAAAGAACCATCCCCGCGGCAATTACGTGGCCGGGGGTCTGGTAGTAGTGTTGTTTAGTGTAAGTCATTATGTACTAGACATAAAACAAATTTCTTAAAGTATGATAGAGGAGAGTACAGATTAACTCATTCCTTAGGGGGAACTCTTTGGGTGCGAAATCAGAGAGTCATAAAGGCAGCAAACAATTGAGGGGCGGACTTGCGTACAGGACTTTCTAACTACACTCTTAGGCCGCCCAAGATGATTAGTATCGTGAACGCCGCGCAGCATATGGTGTGTTACACCACGGGGCGGCAATCCGTTTTCCAAGAGTCAAAAGGCTTGGAAAGTAAGCCACAGCGATATGAGCTGCAATGTATCCCCGCCTTTGGTTGCCTGAAGACGAATATCATAGCCTCGTAGATCTATGTACTACTTCCTTCTTCGCGGGGTTCCTCTATCACATGACAGTGAACTAACAATTCAAATCGCTTGCCCTCATATCCTATTGAGTTCACACATTTGTAGGTATTTCACATAGCGTTAACGAACTATAGAACGTTCTTTAGTCCGTTGCATAGAAGTAGATATTAGTGCCTAAATAGGGACCCGTGATATTACATGGAGCCCCGAAGTATGAGGCTGCCTGAAAGGGTATCGTATAGCAGTGAAGGGATCGACATAACCCCAAGTCAAATTTCTAACAAAAGATTGTGATATTAATAGCAGCAATGCCGATACAGGACTAGTGCATAGATGATATTGGGCTTTCATCGCATATCAACAATATGTAGCGTTATGTAGACAAAAGAGGAGGTATGTTATAGTTGATCTTACACAATGTGATGCTGAAATACGTCACCATTGGTTTTAAAGAGTAACTTGTTGCGAGGATCAACTCTAACATGCTACTCCTATTTGATAGTTGCGTACGTAGCCATTATTGGAGGGTTGTAGAATGTGAGCACTCGCCAAGCATCCATCATGCACCTCAAATAGTAATTTCTTTTCGAGATATGTATTTTTCTCAACACCAACCCGTCAGCCTTGGCAGTTATCTGTTTGAAGCAGGCTACGTATATGCATGCGTTGGTGTTACCAATGCTTGAAATCTACCCAATCAAATATAAGCCGGTAGACTATCACTTACGCCGCGCTGCTGTGTTCCCGAGACACAAAAAAAATGTAACTTGACCGAAATAGTTGCCAAGCTAAGTAACAACGAAAAACGACAAAACGATATATTAAATATAAATTAATATTTTTTTAACTTTCTGTTCAAAATAGTCATACAACTGCTCAAATAGTTAAAGTTTATATCTTATAAAATTAAATCTTTTATTTTATTTATTTTAATATATTTTATATCATATTATGTTATATGTATCGGGGTTTAATTTCTATTGTATCCAGTTACTTTACTTGGTGTTACCATAGTATGAGGAATTTCTCCTAATTTGCCACTGCTCTTGGTAGCCAAGGGAAAGAGAGGGGCAAACAAGGAGTAAAACAGATGTAGAAATAAGATCGAGGTGCTTACACTCCCAACACGAATGCTCTTAAGTTATTCTCTAACTTTCTCAAACCCTCCCCCTTTTTCTTCTTGAAGGCTTTCCCCGCGCTGACAACATCAAGCACAACATGGATTTCATTGATGTTGCAATTATTGGTGGAGGGCCGGCCGGTTTGACGGCAGCCAACACCTTGGCCCGTCAGCTACACACAGCCGTAGTCTTCGATTCCAAAACCTACAGGAACGCAGGAGCCGGCCACATGCACATGATTCTTACTTGGGATCATAAGAGCCCCGAGGAATACCGCAACGCAGCTAGGAAGAACATCCTGGAAAACTACTCAACTATACAGTTTGCTGACATTGCCGTTACTCAAATCACTAAGAAAGGCGCCACCCATTTCGAAGTCGTTGATGCTAACGGCAAGACTTGGAATTTCCTGAAGGTAATTCTCGCTGTTGGGTCAGCCAATACTTACCCTAACATCGAGGGGTATGAGCAATTGTGGAAGAAGCGAATGTATGGCGCATTGTTCTCGACTCTTCATACTAGCATATAACTAATGTGAATATAAATTAGCTTCCACTGTCTGTTCTGCCATGGCTATGAGGATAGGGGTGCTGGATCCTCGGGTGTCCTTGCCGTCGCCCCAGTTGGCGCCGCCATTGCTGTCCATTTGGCACAGAATGCCGCGCAGCTTACCGGCCAGGCCACTATCTATACCGATGGTAGCGATGATTTAGCGGCAGAACTGAAACCCCTCGTCAGTACGCTTGTGGAGTCAAAGTTCAAAGTCGAGACTCGCAAGATCAAACGACTCCTTCCAAAGGATCAGTTCAAATCAGTCCTAGTAGAGTTTGCCGATGGCTCCAGCAAAGAAGAGAAGTTCCTTGTACACAATCCAGAGACAAGCCCACAGGGTCCGTTTGTTGACCAACTAGGGCTTACCACTACACCGTCAGGTGACATTGAGGTGGACGGGCCATTCTGGCAAACTAAAGTCCCCGGTGTTTTCGCTGTTGGTGACTGCAGCACACCATATAAGGTCATTCCTAGCGCCATTACAAGTGGGTGCAACGCCGGGGTAATGGCCAGTGCAGAGATACAAGCTGTGAATTTCATCCGGTTATAAGCGTCTCAGTTTCTCCTATAGAAAGACGTTGCTTATTGATTCAGCTGACTATCATCACAACTTCCACGGCATAAGATAAGGCCGGAAGGATACTCCACATTGAGATTCAGGTAGCTTAGGGTAGCTTACGTACCTTCTCATTTATAAGGAATTGTTATATGGGATATCCCTCATTAGTTTGCTTGTTCGCTACGTGTAATTCATAGCCGTAAAATATCCTTATGTAAGCCCTCAAGGATACTACCAATCCTTCATCTTTTAACTGTAGCTATAGCACAGATCTAGTCTTATTAAGTGGGTTCTCTGTATTATCTAAGTGTTTATATAATGTGATCTCTCTAGTTACCTATGTACTATGTCCTCAAGTGCGAGGGAGACACAGGTACATATTCCACTTATATTGACAAATTAAGACTTTGAAAAGACTCAAAACTTGCCACTCTAAGAATGGTGCAAAAGTCTCAACAAATCAGATATAAATGGATAATGTACCGTGTCTCGCTCGCACTTGAGGACATAGCTCACACTTACAGCTTTCATGAGCACACTGTTACACATATTTAGATCTTCGGCGCCTTTATACGGCTGATCGAACCCTATACGTGATAAGCTAGTCTATTCTTTTGTATCTATGCGCTTCTTATAGTTATTGCACTTATGAAATTACCTTAGGTCAGGTAGTCACAATATCAACGCAGAGGTATTGTAAATTCAAATGTCTGTCAGATAACAAGGATTACGATAGGCGTATGACGTGATAAGGGTTTTAAGATTTACGTTGAAGCTATCTACCAGCTAGTCACCTGTCACTCCGTAGTGGTCACATACCAAGGGCTGCCCATGACAATGTCTTCTATATAAACAGTGACTTCTTCATTTAATATTTCATTTTAACTACTTAACCTAGATACATTTCTAAAGTTAATTGCTATTCTTACTTCACCTTTACCTCTATACCTCAGATAACCCTTTATAAACATCAATATCATTTCATTCCCCAACGTCAGGATATGTATTAGATAAGCTTTCCGACGAAGTAATTTCTTGACAGAAATATGATTTTACAGCTATGGGAGATGTTCATCTTTCAGCCTAGATGCTCGGTTACTATTTAATGACTAAGTGCGTTAAGTAAAGTACATATTACAATTGTAGCATATACAGGAATTCATTATTAAACTTATATTGTTAATTACACTCTTAACGAGTTGGTCTTGGATTCTGGATAATAATTAACGAAGCTATGGAACCGAGACAAGACTAAGTTAAATACCTATGATATTAGCAGGATGAATATCAATAATTATAAGACTACCTCTTAGGTACTTAAAGAATTAAGGGCTCGTCCGCGCCCTTTGTGTAAATTTACCCTAAGGCTTAACCCCACGCTTGAGTCTATCCTTCTAAGTACTACATAGTGTTGTGAGATCCTTTATGTCTGCTATGAGATCTTTAGATGTCGGGATATACAAGATGACAAGAATTGCGAACAGGGGTCTGTCAAATGGGGCTGCTATTGCTAGTTCTCGTTAATAAATATTAAACGACAGAAATGCAAAATCGGTACTTAGGCAAGACCAAAACTTATAGTGAACCACAGCGAAGTTAAGGAAGATCTTCCAGGCGCTACTATATCTCTTGCTGTTACGATTCGTACGGGAGTGATGAGCCTCTACGAGGCTCAGGGGCAACGGCGCAACGCATCGTATCAAAGGTCACTAAAGAGTGAAGGTATTATATGAGTATGGTAATAGTATATTGTATGACTAGGAGAGTAAGTTCTAGCTATCTAATGAGTGTATAGATAAGGTAGCATACCTACCCAGGTAGCTAGCCCTGCATCTATCCCTAACACCTGCGGTCAATGCGTGTCAGCGTCTTTCGGGTCATCAAACATTCCGAGTCGCTTAATAAGTCATTTAGTCGTAGATTCATAGCCGAACTAGACTCCTGTCCGCAATATGTTAAATTCTCTTGTATTTGAGCCAACTAAGTAGGTACATTCTCAACATTACCTACCCAGTCCATGATTTTCATTCATAGGAAGCTTACTAGGTCTTGCTACATAGGACTCGAACTCATAGTTTATTTCTTGAATCCGTTCGCCCTGTCTCTCATCATATCCGTGCGGCTACTCTTAGCTTCTCTGATAACCTTACGCTATGAAGAAGAAGAAAAGACGTCTAGCTGAAGTTCATCTCGTACTTCAGGGTTACAGTTATATATAGACTGTCCCATCCAATATTCAGATGACTGCTATAATTCTAAGTATTCTATATAGCATTATCTAAACGTGTTCTTCCAAGGCACAGATTGAAGCGGCCCACTTTTCTCTACATTAGGTAGTTAACATTGAGGTCAAGCACGAGAACAACTGATTGTCAGGCAATGTTAGATAATATTATCTACATACGTACCTAGGTAGGTAGGTAGGTAGGTATGCATTGAACAAATTAGGTAATTAGTTGAGCACATTACTTCCCTACCTCCCGAAGACCATCCAGTCGAGAAGTAGATTTATTCGTAGTGAGAATAGGGGTTAGAAAGCTCTATTATTCTATCATTGAACTATCTTATAGACTAAGATTCAATGTATAATATCATGATGTTACAATACACATTTTTTTTTGCAGCTCGTACTACTTCGTTTAGCCCTTTTTAACTTAAAGGAGAATCCATAAATATAGGTATCCAAGTAGTCACCCGAACAACATTCATCCTTGATTTATTACCCGAAAACACCTTTGACACTCTACTTAGTTCGGCTACGTCCATTCTACCTTCAGTATATCTAGACATAAAGTGATGAACAGAAACAACCTTGGCTGTTTTCTTGTGGCGTTCGTCGGGTATAGTAAAGACATAATTGAACTATCATGGGATGTACTTGGGCGTTGACATAGAATTCGGGCACGGTGTTATTAACTCATTGGCACTGTCTCCTGCTAGTCGCGATTTTAGTAAGTAGCATGTATTCGGACAAACTGAGATATATGGACATAGCACCACGGCATGTCCTTTACTTTGGAATTAGGCATGATGGTGGTTAGTACCTAAGACCTCGAACGCTTTCAGGTAGTACATATGAGGTGGCGAGGCTGCAATCTCTCGTAATCTTACAACCGTCACGCGATGGGCATTGTACAACTATAGGAGGTAATATCCCTCGGTTTCAGTGATACGTGTCGATATTACGTCGTACAAACCTCCTTGGGCTAGGTACATGTGAGGCTCGTAGATATTAATATTATTAGTAATACTCGGGACGTTGGTTATTTTGATTCTAGACCTTGATGGAAACTATAATTACTGCTGTAATTTGCCGATATTACTCGTTCGCGTGTTGTGGTTTATACACAGTACACGCTTTGCGCTTGTTTTCACTTACAAGCTTCTCGCTAATGCTTCGTGCGTACCCCATGGGGATCTTTTTATCACGAATGGGTACCTAATGGATTAGATCTAGAAAAAATCAAGTTTGTCCTGGTAATATAGATTAAATCGGACATCGTCGGGCTTGAAATTGGTTGGCATAATTAATGTAAGGAAGTACTTGGGTACCTATACCTAAAACCGATTGGAACGATTAGAAGATTCCGGGGTGTGATAAGGTACTGTATCGGGCCTTATCGATAGGTATTCGTTACCTTCCCGCACCTAACTATGATCAACCCCAATTGACCCCCATTATTTGTCAATTAATTTTGTTTAAACTCGTCTTGCAACTCGCGGAAGCTCTTCAACTTTGTTTTTAATCGTCACAGTGAGCTGCATTATTTCCTCACTTGCCATACTGGCGGGTGCGGGCATCCTTCAATTAAACCGGGCAATTGAGAGACAAGACAGATCTCATCCAACTGTCGGTCCAATAAGGCTTCATCAATTCCCGCCCCGCTCGCCCTGCGTAGTGATTGGCTTTGCTGCCGTCAGATCCATTCCATCTACTCAAAATCCAAGCCAACGAGGACGACCACGTTGCACACGACACTAACATCGGTATCATGCACACTACATTGGTCCTGTCGGTTAGGCGGCTTCACCCACCGCGACCAATTCAGACACCATTCAGACACCATTTAGAGACCATTTAGACACTTGCTTCTTGTACCGTTTCATTCGTGAGGCGAAGTTAGTGCAAGTATTGGAGAGGGAGGGCATGTCGAAACCCAATGAGCCTTGAAGTCCAAGCTTATCACCCGCTATCTTCAATATCCGCTCCCGAGCATGGCCAAGTGGTTGTGCATCATGCTGTCAAACTTCCGTCTAGCTCCTCATCCGTCCAGTCCCATCTCCCGGACCTTTTCTACGTGGGTCTGACCCATTCTTATTCCGTCTGTTTGCAGTTCCTATCGATTTTTGGACCGCTACCAACTTCCTTGTCGAGTCATAACGTTTGCCATTTATGCCCTTTACTTGGAAATTTCGCGATTGTCTACTCTAGTCCCAGATCCAGATCTGTCTCAACCCTAGCCCAACCCCCTCACGACGTGGCGCCAATACCATCGTGTCCATCCGCGGCTCTTGAGCACGATATGGATCATAGAAGCGTGAGATCTCACTCCACTTTCCCTCGTTCAAACCGTGGGGTATGTCTCATCTAAGTAGTGCCTCTCTCGATAATGTAGGCTGGGTAGTCATCAATTATCTGTACGTTTTATAGTTGGTCCCGTTCTTCTAAACGTCATTTATCGTTCCGAGCTCGCATTAAGAGAATTCTTTACACCCCATACGCCCATCATCTGTCCAGTTAACTCATTCCCCTCCCATCCATCATCAGAACCGTAACTACTTTTCATAGGTAGAGCCTACATGGTTTGCTCTATTTTCATCTAGTCGTCGCATTTCGTTTGGACCAGATACCCAATAGCTGTATTTGGCAGCTCAGTTGCCCAATAGCTTGCTAGTTTCTGCAAATACCCGCATCGTACTCGTCACTCTGCATAGGGAGCAACTGAGATAGTTTTTTAAATCACGGGCAAGACGTGCTTTTCGCGCGCACCGACGGAATATGTCGGATCAAGGAGGAATTTCGTATAGTCCTGCCCGGGTCAATCCATTTGCAAATGTCCAAGTAGCTAGCTACCCAGAGCACGTTCAGGTAGCTAACTACTCGCAAATAATATATCTTGATACTCAGGAGTCAGAAGAAGAAAAAGAGCCCGTAGAACAAGGTATATAAGTTATTATTCCAATTGGGTTGTTTGCGCTAACACGCTCCACAGGGCATGAGCCGGAATACGATGTAAATGAAGAGCAGTTTGAGCCTCCAGCACCCCACAGATCCCCGCCCGCGATATCTTCACCCACGATATCCTCACCCCCCATAGCATTACATAAGACAAAGAAAGAAAAGGATAAACCACCTACACCAAAAGAACCTAGTCCAGAGAAGCAGCCTAGTAAACCACTCACATCAAAGCAAAAGAAGCAAGCCAAAAAGAAGGAAAAGGAAAAGGCTAAAAAGGGGGCGAAAAATGCGGCGAAGATGACGCCAAACACAGGATCATCAGAACCCCCACCCCCTCCAGCATCTGAAGCTATTCCAGCCGAGCCTTCTACAGACGAGGCTAATAAGTCAGAGGATACGGCCCCATCGCTACAGTCGACTGACTCGAACTCACCTAACCCCCCTAACCCCCCTGAGCCCTCTGAGCCTCCTGAACCCCCTGAACAGCCTAATGAGAATGAAGCAGTAGAAGTGACGGATAAACAGGCAGGAAAGGTTGAGACCATATTGTCGGCCGAATCAGAAAGCATACCTTCAAGTGGACAGTCTAATGAGCTAGAGGCAAGGGAGCCGGCTTCGGAAACTGTGAGTCTACATATCTGATATTCAAACTGTCACATATAAACACTAGCCTAGGTTTTCAATGGTCCCGCTCAGAGTCACTGACATGTTCTAGGTCCCTAAGGCTGAGGTTTCCGAGTCTCCTCAATTAGAGAAATCAGATGTAGCTGCTCATACACATCCGATCAGTACTGCCGAGAGCGATGCACCTACGGATATACAAGAGGCTGACGCACCAGCCCTTAGTACTGAGGAATCTAAACCCGATACAAGCGAGCAAGGTGCAGACGTAGCCAGTGAAACTAACAGAGAGCTTCTCGGTGAAGATAACGACCAAGAGACCACACCAACCACAGACGTAGGAGCTATATCGGAGCCTCAAACGGGGGAAGCCGCGGATGAGCCAGCAGTTGAGCCTGAGAATGCTGAGCCTGAAAAGTTGAAAGATGTCCCCGAGGAGAATTCAAAAGAAGCAAGTAATGATCCTCAAGATGCTGCCCATGAAAGCGCATCTAATAGCGAGCCAGACTCGGCCGCTGCCGTCGAGATAAACGAGCCCCTTGGCGGGCCAAGTGCGGATACGAAAACGGTTCAGGAAAGCGACGAAGCGGGACAGGTGGCCGATACACAAAAAGTTGAAACGCTTGAGGGTGTCAATGAGACACTACCAGACGGGAATCCTACCAATGGCACAGGCGAAACCCTCGAGAAGTCCGAGGACCCTCAAGATCCTAAAACAGAATCAAACGATGAGAATACTACGACTGAAGAGGAAGCACCATCACCTAACAACAAAGATGAGCTTAGTGGCGAGGCTATCAAAGAAGAGGCTGCCAGTGACCCAGAGCCGTCCGAGGTCGCCCCAGAGGATCCAAATGCCTCCCAAATTGAGGAGACGACGCCAGCTATTACTGAGCCGGTGGCCGAGCCGCAGGAACAGATCAATAACAGCGAAGCGACTAAATTTCCAGAAGTCAAGGATGACGAGAGCCAAGCTACGATTAATCCCGAGGACGTCGCAACCCCAAAGGAAAGCGTCAATGCGGACTTAGGGGATATGCCTACGACACTACCGCTAGAGAGTGAAAGTGCCGCTCAGGCAGATGGCCCAACCGAAGAGCATCCCGGCGACCCCGCCGCCGTGAAAAGCCAGGAGCAAGCGGAGCCATCCGAACAGGTTGCAAATATCCCGGACCCAGTCGCTGTCGATATTCCAGAGATTCCGGCTCTCCAGTCAAATGACAACGCGGAGAAGCTCCCTGAAACTGGTTTAGAGCCCACAGAAGGATCTAAGGGTGTAAAGATACCCGACGAGGCAGCTCCAGAACTAACAGAGGAGACGAGTGAGGTTGATAACGTCGAATCTGCTACCGGGGAGTCGGTCAAACCTCAAGAACCTGAGATTGCTCTTGGCTCTGAAGCTAAAGAGCAACCTATAATCCCTGAGCAAATGGCTACAGAGTCCCTGTCCGCGCCTGAGTCGCCTGCTGATATCTCCACCCCTGAAGCTATCCCCGCACAAGATGAACCTGCCTCTCAGGAATCTATTCCCGAAAAGTCAGTTACTAAGGCGCCAATCCCCGCAGAACCCGTTTCAGAAGAACCGGCCTCTCAAGAACTTACTTCTGAAGGAGTCGTTTCGGAAGAACCCATTTCTCAGGAAACTGCCACGAAAGAGCCTGTTAGTGAAGAGCCTAGTCCCCAAGAGTCCACTTCCCAAGAAGCTGTCCCCAAAGAGCTTGTTACAGAAGACCCGGCCCCTCAGGAACATACTACCCCTGTTTCTGAAGATCCAGTCCCTCAGGAAGCCGCCCCTAAAGAAAGTATCTCCCAAGACACTCCTCAGGAAAACATCTCTCAAGAACTAGTCTCCAAAGAACATTCACCGCAGGAACCTACTTCCGAAGAGTCTGTGTCTCAAGAAGCAGTCCCTAAAGAAACCATCTCTGTAGACCTGGTTTCTGAAGAAGAAGTTGCTAAAGAACCCGCGCAAGACTCAGACTCTCGGGAACTCAGTTCTGAACAAACTGTTCCACCGGAGCCTGTTTCTGGAAAGTCTGCTTCCCAAGAACCTATTTCCCAAGAACCTATTTCCCAAGAACCTATTTCCCAAGAAGTCGTCCCTGAAGAACTTGCTGAAAATCCTGCCCCTCAAAATCTTGCTTCTGAAGATCTCGTGCCTCAAGGCTCAGACCCCCAAGAACCCGTTGTCAAAGAACCTATTTCCCAAGAAAATGGCCCTCAAGACCCGGTCTCCCAAAATTCTGTCCCTCAAAAAACTGCTTCTCAAGAGCCCGCTCCCCAAGAGTCAGTCAGTGATGATCAGAACCCACCGCAGGAACCCGATCCCCAAGGCGAAATTCCGGTAGTATTCCAAGATGAGGTAAAAGGCTTACCAGAAACATCTACCGAAGGGGTTGGGCAATCCACTGTCCTAGAGGCAAATTCGCCCATTAATGATAGTGATAAACAACTACCGGATCAGCCAAATACCCAGTCCAATGCTAACAACGACAGCGATGAGCAGTCAATTTCCAAATCAGCCCCGGAGTCCACTGATGAACCCATCCAAGAGCCTGCTCGGGAAATAATTCCTTCTGAGCCGCCTATCACAAACGAGGATAATTCATTGGGCCCGCTTCCAACAGATTCGGATGACAAGAATACAACCGATGCCACCGGCTCATTATCCGAGGATGAATTTGTTATCGTCGATAAAATAGATGGTGAAATGGATGAGGTTGTGGACAGCCCAGAACAGCGGGAACGACCAAGCGATGAGGAACCAAATGACTCCTCACAACTAGACCCTGAGGAAGAACATCAAATTACAACCCCGAATGAGACCGCCAGCCAGGATCATCAAGGGGGTAATGGGGGTTTGTCTCCTTCTGATCAATCTCAGGAGCTTCTAGGAAATGGGGATGACGACATATCCAATAATGCGCAGCCTCGTGATTCTAGCAGTTCAAGCGCCGAAGCAGATATTGTGAAACCTATGGAGCCGTCTCTCCCAGAAGACACTACGTCGGCTCAGGTAGACAAGGAACATGAACAAGAGGTTGAGAAACAAGAACCCGATCAGCATGCTAGCATTCTCGCCGAACGGCAGATTGAATCGCACGATGGCGTGGAAGCTCCCAAAGACGAAGAAAAAACGCCCCAAGAACCCACACTAGAGGTTATTAATGACCAAACTGCGGATGCCAATACTGAATTATCAGAACCCCAGGTCAACAGCAATTCACAAAGCGCCGGCGTAAAAGAAAAGGAGAAGCCTATTGATCCCAGTGCATCCAGCCCGAAAGTAATCGTCGAGTCTGAGGACCCAGTTCCGAAAGATGATTTAACAGAGCCTCCCTCCGATGTCGGGAAGGAGGGCGTCGAAGGGGAAGCATCAATTGAGCATGATCCCGACAATGGGGTGACTCAGTCAACCCCAGCAGACGAGGCTACTCTTGATGACCAGGCAGCTCCTAAATCCGAGGTGCCAGCTTTGAAGGACGTTTCTCCCGGCCAATCTGAGTCCAACCTCAATGAAACTACCCCTTTAGTCGAAGCCGAATTGTGCCCAGTTGCTCCAGCCGAACCAGAGTTGTCTCAGCAGGTGGAAGATAAACAGGAGTCTGGTAGTCATCTGGGTCTTGAGACTGGATCCCCACCCAAAGTCCTTCCGGAAGATCTCGTGGAAGTGCCAGCCAGTTCGCAAGAAACTGAAAAACAACTAGATCAAACTTTACTCCCTAAAAATGAATCAGTTGGCGAACAAATACCTCAAGAGGCTACAGACCTCAGCGAAACCAACGGTGAGGAGGAGGAAACATCTGGGGAAACGTATTCCCCAGACCAACCAGAAGAGCCAGTATCAGTCGATTCCGAGACAGACAACCACGGTGAACTTCAGTCTACGCTTCCTTCTAACCTTGGACAAGAAGAGCAGTCGGATTCAAAATCAAGCCCGATTCTAGAAGAAGCCAAACAGCCCGACGAAAACGAAAAGCTTGAAGAGACAGGGGAGAAGCGTTCAGGGGAGCAGGATAAGGCTCGCGAGATTCCCCGTGAAACCCCAGAGCCCGCTGAGACACCGTCGGTCGTTTCACAAGATCAAACCAACCTAGATCAGACTGAGCCAGATACTTCAATACTAGCCGAGCCAAAGGAATTGATATCCCAACCGCTTGCCGTGAATTCGCAGGGATCTGAGGCTGAGGATAAAGGAGAAGAGCTTATTGACAAAGTACAGGAACAGGAGCCCGCGTCCTCACCTTTACCAACGGAATCTCTAATCGACCCCCTGCAACCGTCTATTAATGAGGACAGCGAATCGGGAGATGTAACACCTTCGGAGTCAGCCTTGGCTCAAGAAATTAAAACTGGGCAAGATTTGGATTCCCACGAGGATGCAAGTCCTGGGTCTTCACAAACTCCCCCCGATCATGAACCGGCCGCTATCGGAGAGCCGGAACCAGAGCCAACACCGAATGATGTTATTCAGGGAGAGCCAGCCATCCCCGAAAAAGTAAATACGGAGGGTCAGATAGTTTCCGATGAGCAAATTGTCGTCGAACAAACATCCGTTACCCCTATTAATGATCAAGTCTCCATCGGAAGCCAGAATTCTCAAGACCACGTCTCTATTGACCCAATCTCCGCCAAAGAGAAAGCCACGGAGGACGAGTCAAAGGAAGAATTACTGACCGAACTTCCTGTGCCAAGTCAACCTCAGGAAAACGAGGCAAAAGAAACCGCAGATAATAACAGCCAAGCTGTTCTGGAAGAGCCCGCTATTGAGGTAGCAGATAAGGTTGATAAGGACCCTGAGGCTTCTGAGCCCATTCAAGAGCAAGCCCCTGCCGAGAGCCAAGTCCCTGTTGACAAAATGCCTACCGAAGACCAACCGGTGGAAGATAAACCTACGGAAGATACACCTACGGAAGATACGCCTACAGAGGACCAGGCCCCTGCTGGGGCTCAGCCCCCTATCGAGAGCCAGGCCTCTATCGAGGACAAAGAGGTTATAGAGAATGGCACACCTGTCGCTCCCAGTACTTTGGAAGATCATTCTGGTAATACTATTCCAGTAGCAGTTGACTTGCCTACGGAACAATTACCTGATCAGCCGCCCGAATCTGACCTACAGGAACCTCAAGATCACAAAGTAGAGACTACAGAGCCTAGCGACCAGGCTATCGTAACGGAACATCCGAGTGATACATCAAATAAGTTGGATGAGGAGCTTGTAGTTTCTGAACCCACTGAAGGCCAAACTCCTGACACTCCAGTCTCTGAGTCTATTGCGGAGGCTAACACTGAACAGCCCGTGGGCGAAGAAACAAAAGGAGAGTTACTGAGTACCGCTATCGTGCCAGATAAGCCCCAGGAGAATGAATTGAACGAAGGTGCAAATCCTGAAGATAAGTCCATTCCAGAGGAACCAGAGGTAATCCACATACAAGACAACCAGAACGAGGAACCCGATACCCCTCTACCAGATTCCGCCACCGACGAACAAGTTTCCTCACAAGAAGCCGAATTATCGAGTGAATCTATTGTTCCGAGCCAACCACAAGAGAACAAAGATGCAGAGGCCACTAGTCCCAGCGATAAGACCGTCTCGGGGGGGCCGGAGGCAGTCCATATACAAGACAGCCAGAGCGGAGAACCTGATTCCAATCCATCGGATCCCTCCACCCAGGATCCAACTCCTTCACAAGAACCTAATCCCGCAGATCAAATTTCTATAAAATCGGATGATAAGGCAGAAATTTTACCGAACACATCTTCAGGCGATACTACGCAACCTATTACTACCGATTCAGAGCCTCCCCTTGATGATGGTAACAAGCAACTTCTTACCCAGGATCCTGAGGGTTACGCACCGGATAAAGATGTTGACGGTCTAGAACAGCCGGGAATTACACGTGAGGAGCTATCAGTCACTTCCCCACAGCTTCCAGAGAATAATGATGATGAAGCTGTCAATGGAGCTCAAGCAGAGCCAGAACAGGTCCAACCTACAGAAAGCAGTGAGCCAGCTGGGGCGGATGTGATTGCGGATATTAAGGAGGCCACATCCGACGAGGACCCCGCTCGTAGCACAGACGAAACGCTTAATCTTGAGGATGCACCCAGCCTCGAAGCGGCAGGAAACGACTCGCCTACCTTAGCCGAAGACTTGACGCCTCCATCCAGCAAGGCAGATCAGAGTATCGAAACAATTCAACAAGAAGCCGAAAATCCACCCCCAGCTAAACCTGAAGAAGCTAAAAATTTCTCTAAGCAACCACATAGTGAAACTACTGTACCGGATCAATCCGAAAGAACCCAAGAAGATGCTACAGGTCTTAGAGACGCACCCGTACCGGAAGAGTCCCTTAGTGACACTATTGTGCCAGATCAAACCCAGGAGAATGAAGAGGCGACTAGAGATCTGGGCGACAAAGCTGTTCTGGTGGAACCTGTCATTAATAACAAGCCAGGGCCTATAAGAGCGCCCAAAGAAAATACCAGAGTGATCGAAGAGGTCAAAGCCGAGAAAGTTCGAAGTGATGACGAGAGCAAGGATACCGTTGGGCCCATCCCGACTGACGGTGGGCCAGTCCGGAAGGCCTCGAAAGGTGAGGATCAGTTGTTTTCAAGTTTAGTAGGAGATACCCCTGGCGTTAGAGCGAATGATTTTGATGATACCCCCGAGTCAGTTCCAGAGCATTTGTTTTCAGTTGAGGAAGTGGAGGTTTCAGGGAAGGGCAGTCAAGATATTGCAGATGGGCCCGATCCAATCCAGCTCGGTGAAAGTTTATATACCGGCGAGCTATCTCCAGAGCCTCGGGAGGATATTGAATGCCTCATTAGATCATTGACCCAGAATCACCCCGAGACGCTAAGCGAACAGAGCAAGGATGTCGAACCTATTTTTGTTTCTCCCCTGGAAGTCCAGGATGCAACCGAGACTCAGAAGCGATCACTTGTACTTGAAGACAGTCCCGATGAGGAAATGGAGGTGTTACCAAGAGCACGACTCGCAGAAGATGCAAGCATTCCTTCCCCAGCGGACGACACAGCTTCTCCGCAAGTACAAGAAGATGAAGGTAGTGGTTTGGAAATACCAGAAGCACTTAAACTTAATATTAAGAGTGGCTCAAAAGATCTTCCCGAAATCACTGCAGATATTACGGACGAAGATGAACTTCCACCCAGTAATAACCAGGAGCGGGCTAATGAGGAACTACAAGAAGCAATTCCTGAAACATCTATCCATAATGAGCCAATTGAAGAACTTCAGGATTCGAGCTTTGTCGATATTTCCAGTGTGGACCTTAAGAGCCCAGGACCTACACCTCAAGAACCAAATAAGGATGGGTATCACGATATCTTAGCCTTCTCGAAAGAATTGCAGCCTGAAATCAGCGGTGTGGTCGCCTCTGAGCCATTGGAAGTAGGTCAAGATTCTGGAAGCAAGGAGTCATCACCCCAGCAAAAATCCGAGTTCGTTCCATCCGATACGCCCGAGGTAATAGATATAACAAAAGCCCCCGATGTTCCACTAGCTTCTACGAAGGTTAAAAGGCTAGCAAATAACTTAGAGGCCGCAAGGGATCACTCAAACATGGTCAAATTGGGAATTTTTAGGCCTACCGCATTTACAGTCGCTGGTGGAGCGCTTGCTCGCAGACACCTGGCAGAGAGCGACGATGAGCAAGCAGCGTCTAGTCTACCACTCAACTCTGCAGAGGTCCTCGTGAAGAAACCAGCAGAACCTGAACAAGTAGCAGTATCCCGTGATCTCAGTTCATTAGAGAAGTCTATCAGCTCTCTCCCAGTCGAAGGCGACGAGGAGTTCAGTTCGCTCCGAAGACCGTCCAAGCCAGCCGACCCTGTCGACACACCCATACCTACCAGAGACGAACCGGACCGTGAAACCAAAAGCGTTCGGAATGACCCCAGCCACCAAACCGCCGAGTCCCAACAAGAGTTGTCTCATACCCTTACACCCGAGTCGCCAGAGATAGTCGCATCGACTATATCTCTCTCTGAATCATTTACAGTAATCGAACGGGGACCAATTCCACAAAAGAGCAGCAAGCGAACACTTAGGCCACCTCTAGTACATTCAAGTACTCAGACTGAAGATGACCATGACTTTGGCTCCCAACCAAGTTGGAGTTTCATCAACCTCGCCGACCTGGAGCCTCGCTCAAAAACTCCAGGAATCATTCTTCCAGATCTCACAGACTCTAAAGCAAGAGCCTTGGGGCGCGCGAAGAGCGTTAGAAAGCAACGCAGGCAAACACTCAAGCAAGCAGAGGAAGCGGTAGCAACCGCCGTTATATTATATGCTGCAGCTCAAGAGCTTAGCCCTTCATCTAGTTCTCTTTTAGGTAGTCCCCAAGTCGAGAACAATACAGGTAGAACACTAGAGCCGACTCAGAAAGGTGCCCAGGAAGTGGATGGTTTTTTTTCGCCGGGTGTTATAGCAGGGAATCAGAGCGTTGGCCAAAATGATTATTCATTGCCCGTTGCTGACCTGTCTACAGACGATGAAGAAAAGAAATCCGCAGATGAGCGGCATCATAGGCACCGACGCCACCACCACCATCATCATCATCATTCCTCCCGATCGAAAGATATCAAGGGCAGCGGTGAACACCTTCACCCTCGCAATACCCGTATTGAAAGCAACCACTCAATAAAGTCTTCTTCCGATCGCTCGATCCCTCAGACACCTAAGAGAGACAGTGGCTTTTCTGTTGAGAGTTCGCGTACTACCGATTCCTCAAACCGCAGGCATCGCACCCCCGAAGAGCAAGCTGCCCATGAGAGGCGCAAGGAAGAGCGACGCGCTGCTCGTGAAGCGTACGATAAGACACGGGAGGACAAAGGCAAGGACTTGGAGGCGCCGCCAAGCGATCGGCACTCTTCCCACCGTAGCTCAAGACGGCACAGTATATCGCACTCAGAAAAGTCACAGACTGAGAGGCGTTCCGAAAGGTCTCAGCCTGAAAAATACTCTGAAAGGTCCTTCTCGGAAAGATATTCTGAGAGACCGCAGTCCGAAAGGTATTCCGAGCGATCTCACTCCGAGAGACACCCCGCGAAGGAGAGTGCTTCGTCCTCAAACAAGAGGTTCTTCGACATGAGGCACGGCGAAAGCTCTTTGGCATCAAACTACGTTCCTCGCACCAGAAGTAACAGCACCAACGTTCCTCCTCCAGTGTTCAGAGAACCATCGAAATCATCAGGAATCCTTAGACGTACCAACACCGGCAAGTCTCACCGAGAGTCCGGGGAAATCCCCCGGCCCAGAAGCCATAGGTCTCACGACCACGACCACGACCATGACCAGAACGACTCGCCTAAGAGACGTAGATCCGAAGCAAAGATTAGCGGCTCACTCGAGTCCACCAGCTCCAAAGCCACTCCTCCCTCGCCGACTAAGGACGAGCATAGACAGTTAAGGCAAAAGGAGAGGCAGAAGGCTCGAGAGGCCACCGAAGCCGCCGAGGCTAAGAAAAAATCTGGAGGGATCCGCGCCGCTTTCAAGAAGCTCTTTTCTTAGTGGTAGGACTATTATAAAAGTCCCAGGGAGAGAAGTTCGGTGAGATTGAAAAACACGAGATGATTTAACGAATTTCCGAATTCTTGTAACGCTAATGAGACCATGTTTTCGTTTCATTTCATATGTCGGGATAAGAACCTACGCGGGTTCTTGTTATGATGAAACGCTACCTCTCAATTGTATTGTCACGATATGTATGAAAGCATGTATGAGGATCACGGTTTCATATTTATGATTTTGGTTCAGTTTTCTCCAAGCATATGAACTTGAAGGGGTGTAAAGGAAGCTACCTTACCTAGCCTAGGTATCCGTTATGAATACATAAGAGGTTTATTTCTTAGTGTGTAAAATGAATGTGTTGACAGCTCAACTCAGTTCTCTATCGTGCTTCCTGCTTCTATACAGAATACTTGGTCAATTTCCGCAATTCGATCAATACGAGTACCCTGTACGGTCATTCGTGCTTTTTGTCCGCTGAACTCGATATCCTGCAAGCTAAGACCTGATTCCTTTGCAACTCGATCCTGAAGGTCTTCGGCGCTCAGGTTCACATCGTTATGAAATATGACATCCACTTCGACTTCCTCTTCTGAACCTTTAAGGATAGGTGAGACTTTGAGCTCCTTGCGGTATATATCCGCATAGAGGACCGGAGCCAGTTGGCGAATCTTGGCCAAGCTAACGTCTGGATAGCTGCAAAGACGTGTGTTCATCGAGACGTACTTGAGGGGCACGAGATTGGCATCGGCTAGATCCTGTCTCTTTGACGTCCCAAGCTTTTTCTCGTGGGTTTGGATTAATACGTAATTGGTACCCGATGCGTCCTCCTTCGGCTTAACAGAAGGATCGAGAAGGTTCCCATTGATGAGGATCGGGTATAGTGGCTTCAGAGCAGTCTAAAACATAGGGAAGTTAGTAAGATGGTCCAGGTCATAGAGCAAACTCATTACTCCGTTTTATATCGGCGTACCTCTTGTTCGGTATCCATGCTTTCTCCCGGGGTTGGCTGTCCTTTATCTCTGTGTTGTCCGTTCGTAATATCTAGGGACGTCGTGATGTTATTAGGCGAATGATATTCAGGTTTGCGTAGAAGCTGTTGTATAATTATACGATTACGGCGAGGTAGAAGTTCCGCCGGGGTAAAACCATCATTGCATTTAGCTTCTGTATTAGCTCCAGCCTCGACCAGAAGCTTCACCATTGCTTCATCTCCGGAGATAGCTGCCACATGCAGTGGCGTCTAGCCACCATCATCTTTGCTTTCGATGTTAGCTCCATGTTTAATTAGAAGTTTCACGACCTCTTCTTTTTCTTCGAGAACTGCAATATGCAGTGGTGTCCAGTCACCATCATTAATGCCTTCTATATTAACTCCAGCTTCGAGTAGGATCTTCACTGTTGTTTCATCTCCGCTCTTGATTGCAGAATATAGTGGTGTCCGACCAGTCCGATCCGCGATATTTGGATCAGCGTGATAGTCGAGAAGCAACCCTACAATTCCGGGTTGGCCTTTCCTCGCTGCGGTATCTAAAACTGTTGACCCGGAAGCATTATTGGTATTTGGGTTGGCCCCGGATTCAAGTAGCAGCTTTACTAGCTCGCGATTTTTGTGCTCGGTAGCGATATGAAGAAGAGTCAACCCAGATGCATTGGTAAAATTCAGATCATCCCCTTCTTTTAAGATGGCCCCGATCCCCGCGGGATCTCCGCGATCGACCATGTCGAATAATATTGCCTGAATTCTTGGATCCATTGTGCTTAATGAAGATAGACATAGAAGAATGATGTAGAGGTCATTAAGATATAAACTCTCGACGCACCATTAGAAGAAACAAATATGTAGTATAAGGCAACCTATTTTCGAGGAAGCCCCAAGCCAGCTTCGGATGAAAGTGTAAGTCAGAGGCCTCCTAATATTGAGTACAGCAACGTGTAAGTAAAGGAAGCTACATCGTAACATTTACATGTGCGACGCTTTAATATTTCGGCTCTACTAAGCTAAAGGATCGACGGTAAACCCTATTTCTAAAAATATATTAAATATTCTATCTTTCTAAAGGAGCATTCTAGAACTCTAGAATGTCGCTATTGTCGAGCATGGCTCGTATTGATCAATATTATAAACAGTATAATTTCATAAAATAGAAGCACAATGGATAGAACGATCCATAAATGGCCGGGACGAAGGCCAAGTATCCGTTTACTACTAGAGTCTGATTCTGTCGTAGAAGTCGCCTTGAGCTCGCTTGTATTCGGCGACTCATTGGTGGATGGTCATGGGTATCTTAGGATCTTAGGGTTCTGTATGCTTTCATCAACCTCTGGCGCCTCATGGTAAGGAACCTCCAACCCTTCAAAGTACTTGGCCATGACGAGAATTATTATAAGATGGTGAATATCATTGTGATATGGAAAGGAAGAAAATTACCTCCTCGGCGCTCAGTATAAGCAGGAATCGGTATTATGTCTACGACACTTCAATCCCAGTAACACACCATCAAAACATGAAACACGATGCATGAGACATTTGTATTCGTATACTCATATCCATATCGCAATAAATAGGATCAGATGGGAAACGTGGAAGCTTGAGTTTGGCATTTTCACTTATGATAAGGTATTATAGCACTTACTCTCGACCAATATCAAAGGAGGCGCCATTATCTCGGTTAGCGCTTAGCATCCCTGCGGCCAGACTTATAATATAATACTATGCACTCTCTACCAAAATAATAGTAGTCCTTAATCACCTAGGTTAGGTAGATAAAGGGATATGCCTATTTAACTTCCCTTATACTAAGTCTATGAACATAGTTCATGTCATTTAAAGAGACCCATACATACTAGATTAATATAGCAAATAGCAGTGCATATAACGTAATACAAGCTATACACCTATAGGTACATAAGTATACATAGCCTATCACATTTCCTATATAATTACCTAGGTTAGTAGGTACTGAACCGCCGATCTCTATAAAGCCAAGCGCAACGGTTTTACCCCAGCCCTGCGAAACATGCATTAGACAAGACCCGTCGTTCCACTAGGCAGGAGAATTCCCACGTGACCAGGTAATTACTTATACGAGGCAACCAGGATGACAACAATGAACCTATTCGCACAATATTTTATCTAATATATGGGGTATATACCATCCACATATACCGAAGCATCTCGCAGGCCACGCACAAACAGCCAGTCGGTTCGGAGTCCGAGGCCCACGGTGACGTGATGCCCTAAGATGCCGTCCCCGGAATTTAGCGGAGCCGTGGTGCATACCGTACGTACAAGGTACCTATACCTAGATAGAAAGAATAGATAGACGAGTAAGTTGATCTACGTCGATGGATTCTTATCGGTTGGTCAGCCTCGTAACGATATAAACGACTTACAAGTAGTGTGCTATAGCATTTGAGAACAGTCACATCGCATACTTGACTCCATCTCTACTTAACAGTAGGGCTAGACTAGCATATGCCTTTCAGAACACACCAACTATGGGTCCATCATATATAAATATAAATAAGCAGAATTTATCAAGGTTCGTGCAGTTTGACAGGTGCATATGCGAGGGTTAGTTAAGGGTACCATGACTGCTATTGCCTGCCTCTGTATTGTTAGAAAACCCGACTTTCAAAACCGCTAAAGGGGGAGCCGTGGTTGACCGATAGTATTGATATGCCAGGATCCTAGCGATGTCATGCATACATATATGCGTGGATAGCCTATATTCTTGCCAAGGGGCTAGAAATCGTATGTGAAAGATGATAAGGGTAACCCATCAACCACGACGCAGAGACACATGTTGGTCCTTGCCCAGACCAGCCGGTAGCCGAGAACGTGGCTTCTCTAGGCTAATTATGTTTGCTAAAGATCCATGTGTTACTATTTAGTAAGATATTATCGTATCTGCATGATCTTGAGATTCGCAGTTCTCTTCCCTCGATCTACTTGGATTTGTAGCTTCCCTTTCAGGTTAGGGGTTAGGTACCTGAGGACGACGAGTCCCGCTATATATGGGTGGAGCATTTGTGAGGGAGCTGGTGGCAGCAGGAGGGACCAAGACGTTGTAGATCTGTAAGAGCAGCGGTGAGATGATGTTAAGGTTCGCTAGGCCCTCAATAGGCCCTAGAGGGGTCTAGGTTCCATCTCGTCTACGAAGCCAAGTCGTAGTGCATATAGGAACTTACTTGAACCAGCAAGTCCGCGGTATTCCTTCAAAGCATTCTGATTGGTGTCATCATTGCGAAAATCGGCGAGCTTGAACGGCGCATCCCTCCTGTTCCTCTATCGCTAGCCTTAGGTGAACGTGATCTTCTTGCCCATCAAATCCTTGAAGACATCATCGAGGGCTTTCCGCTTCTTGGCCTTGTCCTTACTGGCCTCGTCTAGGGACTCGTCCTCATCCTCATAATCATCGCCTTCTAAGCGGGGTAACCACGCCCTGATTTGACCATCGAGGTGAGCGCTAAAGATAGCACCGGCCATATTGCTACCACCCATGACGACACCGCTTGAACTGCCGCCGCCGCCTGCTCCCCTCCAGACTATGCTAGCAATTCGATTCTTGGTGGTGCGTTGGGCACCACTGGCAGATCTAACACCCGCTACAGTTGGACCAGTTCCTCTCAGTTTCGTGACCACGTGGCCATCATGTAAGTCTAAGACGAGGATCTCAGTCTCGTTAGGCCAAAAGAGCAATTCCTTACCGGGATGAGTTAGGCCCGTTGGTGATGTAAACATGGTAATGCTTGCTAGTTGGCTGTTCCTGATGCTTGGTCCAAAGCTCGCGAGTGTGTTCTTCCCGGTGGCGGCATCCCACACACGGATACGTCGGTCATGACCCGCTGACACGATGTACGCTCCATCGTCCGTCCATGTGAGACCATTCACAGGGGCAGTATGCGCTCTTGCAGATGCTCGAGTTCTGACTTTGCCACTGGCGGCATCTATAAGGCCGTTGTAATATAGCCCTAGACTATCTTCGTGATCTAACATGCCAATGACCCCACCAGCCCGACGAATATCCCAGACTTTGACCGTTCCGTTTACACTACCGGTAGCGAGGACATGCTCGTGTCTGGGGGACCATGCAGTGGCCAGAATGGCACCTGAGTGGCCAGGTATTAATGTTTGAACGTTAGAGCCAGAGCGTAGATCCACCAAACGCACAGCAGGGTGCTGCGTTCCACATGCGACTAGTAGGTGTGAGGCAATTGGTGATATGGCATGCGTATATGCCTTGAAACCGAGATTAAAGGAGGCAGAGGCTGTAGCCCTTTCTGTAGCCCAAACTTTTAGAGTTTGATCGTACGATGTTGAAAGAAAAGCAGCCGAATCGAAGGGGTAGAAAGAGAGATGAGTGATGCCAAACTTGTGGGCTTGGTCCGAACGCGAGACTTTGGCGATAGGGGTATGAGTATGCGCCGTTGAGGGATTGCCACACTGCTCTAGGTTCCAGAGCTTTATAGAGGCATCCAATCCGCCCGACACAAGGCTGAACTTGTTAGCTTAAATAAACTACATGTAATGAATGATATTATGATATATAAAGAAGAGGGACCGCCAGGCGCTTGGACCCTCTAGTATATATGTAGGTATATTTTAGCTGCAGAAGTACTTACATTCTGCCGTCGAAGCGATCGAGCGCTAACGCGTTAACACCAGCTTGATGTGACCATAGCGTAGAAGTGGGATCTGGGCCTATTGATCCCCCCTCATGATCTCTAACAGCAGTACCTCTCTCGCCGCCATCGAAGCGAAACTCGGGTGCAGGGCGAAACGAGTGTAAGAGTTGTGTGGTCTGCAGCCTGGCAAATACATTAGGCTCAATGCTACCGATGGACCGCTCAAAAAGAAATTGATTCATTCATTAGAATAAAAGACCACCACGGTCTACTTTACTCGAATGAGAGCGACACAATATAGACAGGGAAGTAATTGCAAGTGTTAATTGGAGACTTGTAAGTGTCGTTGTACTAAATTCAGAGCCGCATTTCTACGTGTTTGTAGGCGGGGAGAAACACTGGAAATATTACGTAGTTGGTACGTAAGGTAGGTAGCTTTAGCGCCCCCGCCAAGCCTAAATTCCGAAGTACCAATAGGTACATACCTAAACACGTACCTAGAATAAGGTTTACGCTACCTACCTCTTAATAGTACACGCAATTATAATATAGGTAGGTACAATTCTAAGACAACTTTAAGTAAAGTCCGCTTCTAGAAATTACACTATTTCGCCTCGTGACTTCATTGTGATCACCGACCACCCTTACATACATAGTAGCGTTTTGATACAAGTGGATAGATACAAGTGGATATTCGACTTAAGTTATGATGAAGGCAAATGAGAATACAACCCACAAAGCTACACTACTATCGTCTAGCGCTGTTTAGAAGTTTCACAGACTACCAAGTACCTAGCGCTTCAAGTCGAGCTTCACAATCGACGGGCTATATGTGAAGATGACATCTAAAAGAGCCAAAGAGAGACGCTTCGTAGCGCCTCCGGAAGTGGACAATGTTACAGAGGCCGGAGCCGGAGCCGAAGCTAATATCCTAGACGATCGTAGGTGGAAGCGCAGGAGAAGAAATGCCAATGTCTACGACGCGGTAGCAGGTTTGTAATCCTAAATATCTTACTCGTCTACAACTCACCTTTCACCGCATATTCGTGGCAATCTAGGCAGATGTTGACTGGCTGCATTGCTAGGTCGAGTCACCACGACTCTCCCTTTAGATGATGGATCCGAGTCCGAGATACCCTCTCATCACTCTCGGACTTCGCGAGACCACCGTCGCGATCCTACACTCGCGCCAGAAGAAGTCCTATTTCGCCGTATCCGTGCACCCGTGCGCTATGCCGAAAAGGACATCTATCACGCCCACGAGGAATTGCGGGACGGTGGTAGAGGCACGCTACCCGATAGTGATATGCTCAAAGCGGTCCATAGCTACTCTAGCCACTTCTACGCAGCACTTGCTGCGGCCCGGGGTGAAACCGATGCTCGAAACATCGACGAGCAGAGCATGGACGAGACAGCGCTCTTAGCTTTTGGCATATTACTCGAAGAGGCGAGCCGGAACACACTCGGTAAAACGGGAGACCTGGTATTCACCGAGGGTGTGGCAGCAAGGCAAGACGGAGAACCGGGGAATAATGATGATGATGAAACCCTGGGCTTTAAGGCGTCGATAATGGGGCGATGACAGTTGAGATCGCGGAGTAGTAATCTTAATGGCGCAATAAGCTCAACGAGGCCTCTCAGCTCGAAAGCTACACTCGCCAAATTGGAGTGGAATATTCATGGGGGCTGACCGACGGCATGTTCTCGGAGACTTTAGGTTGCAGCGACGCTTGACAGGCTAGAGGTTAGTTTGTAATTGTATAGGAATCCCACTGACAGACGCATCCACTCACCTTGTCAGCCAACGAAACCCACCCGAGACCACCCAGTACCGTTTGAACCAGGGAAAGGGTTAAAGGGTCTTCGGTGCGGAGTAGCATTCTGCATCACTTAACTAGATCGCTGGGACGATCTTCATTGCCGCTTTCGAGCTGACGCCAGTCTGGCAAGGCTGCCGAAGAATATATCATTATGATCTCGAGCTTATTCCGACGAACGAATAAGCCTACCCACTGGATAGGAATTTTTGTTGATCACACGCGACCTCTATTTGTTCGTGCATGTGAGTTTGTGAATGTGCGTAATGTGTGTATGCACACGGGGTCAAGTCGGAGACGTTTTCAGCGGCCGCAGGTTATGAGGCCCATCCCGTGTTTGGTCCATACAGGTAAGAGTATCGGTTGGACGAAAATGAGGATTCTCATACTGTAAAATGGCTGAACGGTCACCAAGCACGGTCACCAGGCGGTAGGCACCTGGCATACAAAAGAGATAGGTCATAATTGCTGAGCCGTGGCTCGCGGTCTTTGGACTGGCGGACTGGCAGAGACGCAATGCAGATCTCCTAAGAGGTTCCAGGCGCTATGATACCGCTGCAAGCTGTGCAGGTGCAAGCGATTGGGTATGACATGAATCATGTCCCTGCGCAGACCGCGGTGGTATGAATTTGCAGCGTGACCTATCTCCGTCTCAAATCCCGAACCCTGGAATTGGAATCTTCTTAATCATGCCATATTCCCAATACGGCGTTACGGGCGGGCGAAAGGAATGGAGTAGACAAACACACCGCAACATCTTGGTGACCTTTTCAAAATATGATTTATCACATCTGCAGCCGTTCTGGGTAACGTAGGTACTTCGAAATATATGCATACCTAGATATAATAGGACACATTAGGTATGGGGGAGATAATGGATGGAGATATGTAGACAAGTAGGCAAGTAGGTATGGCATATAATGGAGCCAAGGACCAGGTTGGAGGCAACGAAATACTTATGGTAAGAGGTGACGAAGGTGGCTTCGGAGGCTTTTAGAAATGGAGTTGACATCCAATAGACGGCATCTTTAAACGGCATCATCATTGCGTTATGCATTATGTAGGTAGGTAGGTATTTTGTATATGTAGGCCTCCTGTCGTGACTTCTTTTTATTTTGTGGTACCCATCCAATCGTAACCAACCCTACCGAAACCAGTCAATCTTACCAAACTCAATGTCCCTAATCGTGCATTTTCCAGCCAGCTTAATTTTTGGAGGTGTCGAGGTTGCCCATGTTATTGTGAAGTATCTGGGGGATTCTCTAATGTCTGTAAGATCTAGGTACCTAGGTACTTGTGTGGACTTATAGTGGGTCATGTGGATCCTAGTCATGTGACAGCCCAGGTGCTTTCCTGACCGGTCTAGGTACCATGTACCTACCTACCTGTGTCATGTAAGCTGCCGACTTGGTTAGGTAAGGTACCTAGGTACATCTATCTTACCATTGATGCATAAGTCCTTTTCCCGGGGTTAGATGGCAATACATGGTACAAATAAATCGGCCTTACTAATCTCGGACTAGTTATTTGCGGCAGTAGGCATGTCGGCAGGCATCTCCCCTCTTCAACCGGCAAGGTAATGTCCCAATATTATGGATTTAGGTTTGCTAAAGCAAGATCTTACTAGTAAATCATTTAGTAATAAGTTAGTAAATACTTAAACCAGGATATATCTGGTTATTCATCATTCATAACTCATCAGTCATCATCTAAAGACATCTTAATTTAACCCATCCAATTTAGACAATTTAGATCACGTAGCAAATAATATAACGTCATGCTGGTAACGTTGAAAAAAAAGAGGAGATCGGGACCGAAATCTTTCTGATCGGTTGATACCGACGCAATCAGCGCTCGCTTCTCGCTGCTCGGATCCAGCCCACTGGATCCACATACTCCGAGGTTACCCGAATGGATGTTGCTAGGCAGGCAACACAGTCTGCGCCGCGAAATGATTCCGGGCTGCGGGCTTTTCCTTGCTGATGTTATTATTGTCAGGAGGCAAGGGAGCAGCCGTCTTCTGTCAGAACCCGAACACGGCATGAGAAGGTAGCATTCAATAGGTAATAACAATGGGACGGGCGCAAAGAGGTGCCAACATCTGCAAGATCATTTATCAGACGGTAGATCTAACCCGTGGAGGCGTTTCATGATCGGACACATATGACCCTCAGCCCCAATGTGCACCTTATAAATATGCGCACGAAAGACCAGATACTATCCCGTGGCGGCTGCTCGAGATCGACGGCGTGAAAAAAGGAGGTCAGCCATCAAGCAGGTTCCCGTATGGAGTAGATACGCTGTATTCGAATAAGGCCGAATAAGGGCAATTAAAGGCGAAGGAGGTGTAAGCCTTGTAAGAACCCATTCCAAACTTTGAGATAGCTTGGTAATCAAAATGGATTAAACGGGCGACAAAGATGACCCGGTGGGGAACCGCAACACGTCTCCTATGGATAAACGACGGGTGAGATAAGCATATAACACTCTCAGATGGGAACACTGACACTCTCAGATGGGTGCGTATCGTGGGGTAAAGTGGGATTTAGATCCGCCAACACAAGTGTTGGGTACCATCGAAATAGAAATCCTCCTATATAACACGTATTAGTTGCACTGCTAATCACCAACATGAGTAATCGACGTGTAGAAACAAGTCGCTAATTAGTGAAAGTCCTTTAATTACCTAACTTTGTATATCGCATATGAGACCGGCAAAGATAAATAGCAATCAACATTATTGCCGACTGGTGATAGGACATACCAGATGATAGGAATACAGGTATGTATATCGGAATCAAAGTAAGCCAACGGCTACATTGCACTGCATTGGTTTGACAGGACTCGACGCAGGATGCCGGTATAAGCAAGTAAACTGTTGTCTTATTCCTACGGTTCACACGTTATAGTTATCTCTATAGATAGGTATCTAATAGGCCGTAACTTTGATAGATTGTGAACTCCGCAACTGCAATTCTGTTAGCCATCATGTAACAAAACTACATAGAGTATCTAAATGTCCAAACTCGGAACTCCGAGAGAACTGTCAAGGCACGCAAATGACAGGACGAGAGGAATGCCATATCCGGTAGAATCGTGGGGGGCGTCAGTTCTCATATGTTGCTTGCGTGCAAACAACCAACTGAGGCTTAGGATTGATGCTCCTTTGGGAACATTAATTAGGCCAGATACTTCAAGAAGGCTCTTGGCAGGACGAAAACTCATAACGAGGCTAAGCGGATCGACGCATTTGCCGCGCCTCGTAGAGGGGCAACCAATTGTTCTCCAAGCCCAGTGTGGTAGAAAGACGCGCATGTATGCCTATCTTGGACAGATCGATCCAATTGTTCTCCTACGAGGCTGGTCCTTACGATGGTTGGGCATGGTTAGGAGGAATGGTGTGTATATTGTATCCTATGTCAGCTTACCTACTTCTTTTTGCGATAAGTCATTATTTCGTACCCCCCCTTGCATAACAATTTGATTAAGGGAAAAACAAAGAAGGGTACGTCAAATTGTCCGGTAGATCATTCTAAAAGCAGGAATAGTAGCGGGTTGGCAAAGCTTGTGGGCTCATTGGGCATCTATCAACGATCGCAAAAGGCTTGATCGAACAAATTCATGCCTTACCGGTGGAGAAGATCTAGAAGGTCTAGAGGGGTTGTACAAAACATACCCTTTGAGCCCCTTGAATCCCCTGGTGGCGGACTTTGCGCCGGTTCAGTGGCCAATCAACGAAGACCCAGAGCCGGTTTTGGGTAACGAACCCATCGAGAGGCGGGGAGGACCCCTGAAGCGCAAGGACCTTGGTGTAGCACTCTTCAGAATTAACTGGTAACGTCAGGAACCACGTGATTTGTTGCGGATTTTATTTTCTAGGGTACATAGTATTTCTACTTGGGTAGGTAGGTATGTTATTGTATCGTATAAATTCGATGTTTAGCTGAATCCTGGAACGTGGTTCATGTAGACCCTGTTCGTTACTAGTCGTCATGATCCTTTCGGCTGTTATCTCGGCAAGTGTTGCTACAATAGGAAAACGTTTAATACTTTACACTAGTAAGGCTTACATCTTACTACCGTACGATTCTTACAAGATATACCTATGCTTACTTTATTTCTTGAAACCATCATGTATTGTACACAAGGAATTATTGCTCATAGCTTTTCTTTGTTGTTTTATCGTTAACTTTCGGGGGAGAGGGGGGCTCTGTGGATTTTGACAAGGGTAGAAAAGGTCTAGATCATACATGTGATATACGGAAAATCATGTGCCGCAGAGTAATCAAAGCGTTGCATATATGATATCCATACGAACATAACAGTTCCATTTCCATGGGTTTGCTTCTCATACATACCTAAGTAATGACGCAAATTATCACCAAGGATGATTTTCTCTTCCATTTCGCCGTGATGACGTTTGCAAGACATCGTACACATGCCAATTTATGTAATTTTACTATGTATGATCGAGCATCGGCAGAGAAGTTGTTAGTCCATAATTTTAGCATTCCTTGTAAGAAGTATCCGGCTGTATGGAACTTAGTGTAGAGGTAAGCACTTACTTGGCGCATTGGTAATCTACAATAAAAACGTGGTGTAAATGTTTGTTATATTACATAGGTAATATTAGCAACAATTTAAAACCCATGGACATAAGTTAGAATATCAACTCAAGACGCCAGCCTCGCCTCTTAGACCTGGAGTAGCTTAGTAAATTGATAGCCTTGCAGCTTGTTGTCGTTTAGTATCTTAAGTTTAAAGCTTGCATGAAGGGTAACACCAACAAGCTCGCAAATGGCTATATAAAAGGGGGACATAGTTGACCTCGTTGATATCCCTGTGGGGATTTAACATGATCTACCTAGCCCCCGCAACGTTAGTCGAGTTTGATATATACATACAAGAGGCCTCGAAGCCAGTAGAATGCCGCTAGAACCACTAATTTCTTTGAAGTTAAGGTAGATCAAGCAATGCAAGCCTAGCGG